GGACTGCGCTCGCAAGGTGAGTGAAATTTAAAAAAGACGCGGCGCGAAAGAGAAACGAAGAGACTTCTTTTCCTTCTTTATTGCGGCCATCGTCGAACTTCCGTGGAGTTAATCGGTCGTGATAACTTTCAACGTTTTATTATATCGCGAGTCATCTCCGAGTGCCGTCACGTCGCGCGGGGGAAGAAGCGAGGGGAAAGAAGCGAGGAAATCGCACCCGCGGCTATATTTAAAATCCAAAATAGCGGGATTTTCGGACGCGGAACGAGAAGTCGTCGCGCGCACACGCGCGCGCACGGTCCCGTGCCTGTGAGTGACTAAAATTGTCGCTTTCGGGGATCGATATCGGTTTCGCGACGCGATTAGATGTCGGATTAGACGTGTTATGCAATTTCGTGAGAAGAAATCGGAGGGGACGCGCGACGTCGCGACGCGACGCGCCGCGCCGCGAAGATGTCGCAAGCGGGCGGGCGGGCGTGCGTGCGTGCTAAAGAGGGATCAGAGGAGACCAAAAGGAACAGGACGAGGTCTCAGTAGAGGGAGAGAAGAGAAGAGGGGCTGTGCGGCGGAATGTCGCGATTTCGCTATGAGATCGGACAAAACATTCGCCGTCGGCGACCGCCGAAATAGAGGCATGCACCTGTCCCGTTAGAAAAGGAAGAGCTCTGGTGTCTTCTCCGCCTCTTCACGCACGCTCCCTCGAGCCTGCCACGTCGTTTCGTGTTCTTCTTGTTTCGTCCTCGCTTTATCCGTCTGTCCCCCTCGCGTTCTCTCGCCCTCAAAACTCTCACGCACTTTTTCCTCCTCCTCCGTCCAGTTTCTCCGTCAGATATTCGCTCCTTCGTCGTCTTCTCATCAGTACACTTCGCCACGCCTTTACTTCTTCGTCCTCCTCTTCTTCATCTTCTTCTGGGCAGAGTTTTGCGCCGCTTCTCTCCTCCTCCTCTCCTCCGTATGTCGTGCTTTACTCTTCTCTGACCTCTCCGCGTTACTCTGCGTCTCCTCCTCCTCGGACCGAGCTGTTTGGCTGTGTATGCCATAACGCTATTTCCGTCCACGGACCCCGCAAACGCCGTAAGTCGCTTTACGCACGCATCGTATACGCAGCATCCGAAGTTGAGCCTCCGATAAAGTGAAAATCGAAGACACGAGACTGTCGCGCATTGCAGGAGAAAATCCAGCGCTTTTGAATCCCACGAGTCTATAGCTCGCTGGAAAAAAATGGAATCTACCGTGATATTGTACCGAACATTATCATGTGCAACGATTAATCCCATGTAGCTCTGAGAGACTATAACAAAATTAGCAATCTGCGTATCATGGCTACACGGAGAGAAATAATTTGCTAGCCCAGCAAATTTTCTGCTGGTGTAGCAAAATCTTTTCGTTATTATATGGATAGCAAAGAGATTTGCTAAGAGTACTAATCACTATTTGTTGGATATAATTTGCTGAATCTACAAATTATTTTACTGTAAGAACTATGATAGATTTATATAAGCAGTTGCAGTTTTGCTCCGACAGCAAATAAATTTGCTAAGGATACATTATTTTGCATCAATAGCAAATTAACATGATTCTTAGGACAAATACACTCAACAAATTTTTTCTATCCTAACAACAAAACTACTTCTGCTCTGATAACGGATAATTTGTAAAATTAGTTACGTCAACTAAATTTTTTTGATGTCACTACGAATATGCAGTCGCAACGACGATTTTGCTAAAAGAGCAAAATTATTTTTCTCCATGTACAGATTTCCCTAAGTTGATGGTTGTGACAGCAAATCTATTTCTTTTTCCTTACTGATAAGTCATGTAAGTCAACCTGGCGATCAAAACCTTATTATTATTAATAGTAAGAATTATTAATCATTAAAACCTTATTAATAACTGGAGCCAAATATAACAAAACAAATAACTGACTGGAATCAATCTGATCAGAAGTATAAGATAAATTTCTCTAATTGAGCAAAAGCATTACGATATATCCCGCGGATAAAAACATTACAAGGCTCAAGACTCTGTTAATTTGAGCCATCACCGAACAGAAATTTAAATATCCGCGAAATTGACGATCTCAATATTGTCAGCGCTACGCGCATGACACGCCGCTTTCCTTGCACGTCGACCAATTTCTCCCGATATATTAATAACACGCTATGTTTACGCAAATGTGTCACGGTATTGTAACGTATAGTGCCATTGTCGAGCCGCGAGACGTTAGAGATTCAAAAGCGCGCGTGTTTTAGGGGTCTATATATAGATCGACATGTGTTTCGGGGCTGAACCACGACGACCTGTACGGTCCCGATAACGCGCCAGGATTTTTCCTTTTGAAATCCGAGAGACCGGCAATGAGCGTGGCGCTCGCCAACAATTAGGCGACGGTTTTATTGGCCGGCGGTGTAAAATCGGCCGTCTAAGTGGATTCCCGGGAATTAATACGGGCGCAGCGCGATCCGAATTGTTTGCTTCCCGACTCCACACACGTCCGGCCGGTATGGGCGTTAAGGGCGCTTTTAACTCGTAACCCGAAACGCGCGATCGCTCGTATAATTGAAAGTTAAGGTCACCCACGAATTAGCGGAGGGTCAAAGGGCGAATGATGCCCGAGCGCATCGCGACTTGCACATGAAAACCGAGAAGATGTCTCATTGTTACGCCAGAAGGGCGAGACCAGCGGAGATTATCGCGGTGATTATCTTAAATACGAATTTAACTTAATCATTCCGCCGAGCACTCGCATATTTATCGCATATTGTTCACTCAGTTTCGTAGTTAGAAAAGGAAGCTAATTGTATTCTGTTAATCGCGCTGCAGTACGGAAAATTTGGTGTTTCTTGAGACGAAATTATCGTGATAATTATCTCAAGTACAACTTTTCAATTTACTAATATCCTTGAATATCTCGAGCGCTCGCATATTTATCGCATATTATTCCGTTAATTCCGGAAAAGCAGAAGTTAATTTCAATCAGAAATTATATTCTGCTTTCAATCAGAAATAGTTATATTCAATCGTGCTTCTGCGCGGGATAGTTGATCCATCATAAAATGCTCTTGTTTGCAGCGAAATTATAATTCGCGGTAATTATCTTGAATACTAGTCGAATTTAATCGATATCCTCGACCACTCGCATATTCATCGCATATTATGTGATGAGTTCCGGAATTAAAAGTAGTAATTGATTATGCTATTTCGAGTGCGCCTCAGCACAAGAAAGTTGATATTTCTTTAAAATGCTGTTCACAACAAAATCATCGCGATAATTATCTTAAATATAATTTTTTTAAGTCTAATCATGTCCTTGAATATAAGCACTCGCAGACTTATCGCATATTATTCCACTAATTCTGGAATTAAAGGCAGAAGTTAATTATACTTTGTCATTCGTACTGTAGTATGGGAAAGTTGATGTTTCTTGAAGCGCTCGTTTTCATAACAACGTGCCGCGTGTCAGAGAAAATATTTGAAGAGTGTTCGTCCCACGGGAGCAAAGTCTTGAAGCCTGCTGCCCCGTCTTCTTCCATGACATTCTGATTTCGTTGCTCCCCGAGGAGATTCCGCCGGCGAGTGAGTATCCGTCAAAACAGTATCACGTGGCACGGATCCGTCTATCCTGTCATGGGAAACTCGCGCGAGTTAGACTCTCGCCGATCCTGCTCGCCGAATCTCGTCTTCTCGTGTACACGAAGAAAGAGACGAAAAAAGGCTCGATAGTTCCCAGAGGTGCGCGAAGAGAAAAGTGGTAGATTGCGAAGATATCTCTCATTTTGTCTGTCTCTAACGAAGCTTTCTAACGCCAAGAGGCGAGAAGATACCGAGCGTGTCGACGATCGCAGCCTCCACTTTCCCAGCCCGACTTAGAACGAGCCGAACAGCCGCTACGTCAGTGAAATTGCATAAAACTTGCGACGCGGAATGACACACTGATACAATTTGCGCGAGGCCGCGACGGCACCAGAAGACACCGTCATCCAAATATAAACGAGTAAACGGATCAGTCTGCCGGCCGTCTGGTTATTTATCCCGCTTTTCCGAGATTATCCCAAGAACCCTTGGCTGACCGACCGTTCGGCTTGTCCCCGCAGGGCCGCATGAATGTAAAGGCCGATGCACGCGATGAGTAAACCGTGCCAGCCTTTGTGGAGAGACACGATCTTGTATTTTATTCGCGAATCGTGCGCAATTAAGAGACTTAATGCGGCTCGTGAACCCTCGGCATATCGTCTTCGCTAATCGACAGTGTAAATTTTTTAACGCTGACCCGTCGAGCATCACAATTCGATGCCAGCGAAATGGGAATCCTTCTGAACTAACGTTACTCGTAGGAAACAATTGACTCAAAGAGATAATAAATATGAAGAATAACCGAGAACTTCAAAAATCTCACTAGCCCTTTTTCAAAAATTTCTTTTTATTGAATAGCTTTTATTGAAGGCCCGTGTTAATAGTTAGCCACTTGAAACTTGTCTCACTTGTGAGATATTTAGATCTTAATTCAGAGTTAGAAAAATTTTACGTTTGAAGAACTCTCTCATCTAATTTCGAACTCAAATCTGAGTATCTTGAGTCAAATTTCAAGCAACGACTATTAATACGGGTCTAAGAGGTTTCATTTTTTGTTTAAAATTCAAATCAGTAATTTTTTACAGATCAGAATTTAGTGGGGAAAATCTTTTGTATTTATCATAATGTATGATGGACGCTCACCTAGCTTACTCAGCATTTAAATGCGACATTAACATCGTAGTAATTCCATTTACGCGAGCAAGCTAAGCGTGTATACTTCGCGTAAGCTTATAAATACTCCGGGTTTCGAAATAGACACCGGACAAGCGTTGTCACAAACCACGAATCATACGGAACTCGACGGAGACTCAAGTATGTCTTCAGGCATGCACATTCCGTGATTTTCGACAAACTATACTCGAGCCAATTTTTCACGGCATTTATATGAGAGATCATTTTTCGGATCCAAGTGATTCGTCGCGCAATAAATGCAGATCGCATCGTGCGAATTTTTATTTAAACATCATCTAACGGTACAAATTCTTTGTGTCTTGTGTTACATCGTAAGACAGAAGAATTTTCTCCTCGTAATCCAACAGACTCACACTTCATTATTTCTTTACTCCAACCACTTTTAAATAAAATTCACAATAAATCTTAAAAAAAGATTTCAATATCGAGCACATCATTAAGCTTGGTTCGCTATTGAAGCACTATTTCAATAAATGTCAGTCTAACGAGATATAAGTTTCGCGTCGGCTAGTTTCAAAGCCAGGAATTCTTCTTTATGGTAGCCTAGTCATGCTCTCGTCCCAGATACCTCTTCACAGTCCCGGATATACGTTTCCAGCTGTAACTCTCGGACTGCTCGACATATATAAATCAAAAACGGGCCGCGTTTGTGCCACTTTTCGTTCATAAGGCGCGGCGCACTTTGATGAAAATTATGGTCGACCACATGCTGATGCGCGAGGGTGTACAAAGATCGCCGAGATGCGAACAAAGGCGTCATTACGTCAGTAGTCCGAGAATCCACTAGTACGGAGACAAGTAGCGGAAATGAATGTTGCAAGGCTCGACTGTGCGTTTCTCGTGTGTCTTTTATAAACAATGACATTTATTGCAGACTTCGATGCACATTGAAACATTTCGAGATATCAGAACTGGAAAATCGAACTTAATTGATCAAGATATTGATTTCTCGTTGAAAAATGCTTACAGTGTGTAATATAAATTTTGTAAATATCGATGTTTATCACTAAATCCGCGTAACATCCGCCCCACGTACTATGTTCGATATTTATACGTTATAAAAAAGCTTTACATAATTATGTTTACTACACATGTGCTATCATTAACACACACCACACCCACACACACACACATACACACACGCTTTACGGTATACGTTTGTAGCGTATATTATTGATATTTCAATTACATGTCTTTTATTCATAATAATCTACTGTTTCCCCTAAATCAGTCATTTATTACATAATATAATACTTCTTTTTATGTGATAAAGCATCGGCAGATAATGTAAGATTTTCACATCCCATGCCAATGTCTTAAGACATGTATACAAAATTTATATATATAGAAACCGGACATTTTCTGGATATTCAATTTTATTGATTATAGAATATTTTTTTTTCATTGCTCGTCGCAAAATACTCTAAATTCAATCCCTGATAACCACCGATATATAACATACAGAAGCACGAGTATCAACCGATTGTGCACAAGTATTGCAGAATATGCAGCTTAGATATTTATTTCATGCACTGTACATAAATCTTGTATTATAAAAGACATCAGTCTATATACATGTAAATCACCTGTATATTAGGAATCTTTGCAACATTTATATGTATTGTAACACAAATGAAAGCATCAAGAAGAAAAAAAGTGACAAAAACTAAAAAAACGAAAAAATAGACAATAATCTGTTTCATACTCCGCTATAATGCATATTATATTTCTAATGCAACATTGAAACCATAGAAATGGAAATTTGTCAACGCATCCTTTATATTCCTATATACCGCACTTGTCTCGCTGTGAAAACAAATTTTATATTCACTCGCATGTTGCAGTGTGGAACTTATTTCATATCTTTAACTAATTATCCTATGCCCCATGGATTCTAATCAATAGATGGTTTAGTTCGTCTACGATGATGATTTCGTGCTAATGCGTGAATAATCGTCACTAAGAAGTAACAAACCATCAACATTACAAATTTATCGAACAACCATGATATTGTAGTCGTTCCATCCTGTAAAAACAAATGTTTATGTTCAAAAGTTTGATCTCAATGCGTCATACATGGTATGTTTTATGCATACCAATGCTATTAAAGCATTCTATTATCTATTATCATATTCATCTATTAAAGATTGACTCACCGCAGAAGACTTATCGTGCAGCTTCTGTTTCTGTTCAATGAGATATTTCTTCAATGGTTCCTGGAATTTCGTGCCGACAAACGGCACAACCGCTAGTAAACTAATAAATTTATCTAAAAGTTCTTCATTGAAGGCTATGATTACTGCTAATTGTTGTATGTGCATTTTAATAACAGCCTTTCCTATCAGCGTGGCGCCAAAGAATGTCCAAAATGGAATGAGATAATGTCCACATGTCAGACCAGCCAAGTCAAACAGCGGATTTGGAATCTACAAAGGGGGTTGTGATTAAAATAAATTTTATACATCGAAAAAGTAATTACTGTTGACGCGCATACCGATGCACAGGCCAGTATACCCCAGAATCCAGCTTTCTCTACAAATTGCTTCATGGTCAACTTCAAACGCATTACAAGTGATACGTTCTCTCCATTCTCCAATGCTTCCAGGGCCTCCAATTCTTTTAGATCTTCTTGATCGAAATTCTCACTTTTACTACTTTGCCCACTTGTTCTCGCGGCTCTGGCCATAAAATACGGCGGTAACTCGCCGAGCGCGGTGCCAGCTCCCCACAGCATGGCCTCTACGCGTACTTTACTCATTATATTCAATATGCCCGCTGTCCATTGTGGATCAACTTCGCTCGGGCATACTATTTGGTCAGGATATGGTGGTTCAGGGAAATTCAGACCGCCACATTCGTACGCTGCCATAGTAACAGCTGCGATATGTGGCCCTAAGTATAACACAAAAGTGTGTAAACCTGTTCCAAGGCCCACACTTGATAATACACCTAATCCTACCCAATATAACCACCATATAATCTTAGCTTCCCATAACTTAATAATCTGCAAACAAAAGGCAAGTGAATCATTTTACAGTGATTGATCGATGATCAGAAGACATTCTTCCACATACCTCTTGCTGAGGACCAGAAATCCTACTTAACGCAAGAAACAGTATTACAACCGAAATTGCAGCACATACTGTCCGTTTATAAAGCAATGTCTTCTTTGCTAAACTAATCAGATTAATGAACACTTCATTAAAGAAATAATGCAATGTTATAATTGGATGTTGCCAGAGTGTTAAGTGTTCCGCGTCCAAGTTGGAGACAGCTTTCGGATGGCTTGAACTATCTTCCATTGCCAGAGTGGATGTTCTTTTTCTAGCATTCTTCTGAGCTCCATTAGTGGAAGCTTGATCCTTTGGACGTCGAATGGCAGTAGAATTATCCAACATGATATTTATTAAACAATTAACCTATAAATAAGTCGAATAAGATCTGTTATCTGATAAGTTATAACAAAAGAGAGAAAGAGACAAAGAAAGAAAGACTTTGGAATTCGACTTTATCAGGAAGAAAAAATTTCCTTAGTCGGCACATGTCACATTTCCAATTATAATCTAATTTGATTTTTCTGCTCGATTCTTCGTTACAAAGCACAAATGACGTTGATTATATAAAATATAAAGATTTTTACACGAGGAAATTACCTTCTCGGTTTTAAGATCAACATGCACCCAAAGTAGAAACTACAGCACACTGACTTTTTTTAAATCATTGTAGAACGCGTCTCAGTGAAAGTAGAAAGTGACTTTGCAGGAATCTTACATGGTTTTTTTCAAACCTCTGATCTAATTTATGTTGTGGCACAAGCAATTAAATTGCCAATTCACTCATGACGTGTATTACTAACGTATGTTTTATATACGTACTCCTCATGTGTAATAAATACATTAGACGTGACGTGCATCGCGCGAGTGTAGATATCGGACGATCATTCGAGAGATTCACAATGCATTTGCAGTTTTCACTTACATTCAGTGCAAGATTCGCGATATCCAATAGGAAAAGTTATTTTCTAGAGACACTGAATCTATCGCCAACTAAATCCCTGAAAAACGATCCTGTATTAAAGACGATAGCGACTCGTGGCGGAAATCTCGGAACTAACAACGACCAATCGACTAGTGTCGTTCAAATACAACTGAGCGGCAAACCAGATAACTTTTACTTTTTATTAGCGCACACGAATATGAAATATAAAAATAATATACAAATCAATAATACATCGCAAAAATAATGTATAATAAAATTAACAATGTATAAATTACTTACAATACACCTTACTTATTTACAAATTTTATTTGTCGACTTGTAATAATGTAAAGGTATTCAAAAGTAGTCAAAATTATTTATTTCTTTCTATTCGTATTGCAATTTATATACAAATATTGATGTTTTATCGTCGTTAAGCATTTCCTAAAATTATTCGACTTGATAATATCTGTATTCTTTACCAGAAAGAAGAGAGAAAAGAGAGAAAAAATCCATAAAGCTCGTAAAAATACAAATATTTTCTATCGTTTTACAAGACGCGAGCTGCATTCGAATGCGACGAATAACACTTAAGATCTGCTCTCTGAGAAACATAAACAAAATTTCTACTTTCTGATATAGGTTCATATTGAATGTCAAAAAATTAAATAACTTCAATATTTATATCGTTTAAAAAAATCCTTTCTTTTTTTCAATTGCAAAACGTTTCAAAAACTTCAATAAAAAAGAGCCAACAGCTTCTTGCATGAAGAAAATCATCGAAGACAGAGGCTCTTGGTGTAGTACCTCATTCAAGTGCTCGTTGATTTAACAAAGTCTTAACTTTAAAAATAAATTACTATGATAATTAATATTGAAACTTAACGAGCTGTGAAAAAATGCGACGTGCGATTTAATGTTAAGAGAAAATTGTCTAGAAGACAATTTCGCGCTATCTAATTCGTTAGAAGGAAGAAAGGGGAATGTAATCAGGTACGTCCTGAGCTGTACGGCGGTAATCAGTATCCGATCAGTCAGTCGCGGTTATCAATGATTGTGCGTCTAATAAGCTCTCTGTTATGAGAATTGAACTATTCATAATCGGGGTACTGATGGTGTTGCCCGATCTTTTATTGCTAAAGGGATAAAAGCTATCGATGTTCGTATGAAGGGAGTAGACACCGACTTTGTCCACGGGTGAGCCGCAATTGCCGTTCACGTTGATCTTAAGTTGATTCACGTCATTCTGAAGCAATCTGACGTAGAGCTCGGCATGCCTTTGCCCGCCATTATGAATCTCGAGTGCCGGTATCCATCGGAAGTAACACTGCGTCCAAAGTTCTAAGCTGGAAATAGCGCAGGAAGGTTTCAGGACCGCCCTGCTGTCCGTCTTACTGGTATTGCGAGGTACGAACAGAGGGTTGTAAAATAACAAGATATCTTGATCGCTGAACTGCTCCCGCCAGTCCCAAACGCTACGAAGCACAAGAGGTGTGTTGGGATCCTGAAACATTAAGTATGTAATGCTCGAGTTAATCGCTACATACAATGTGGAGACACTTGCTGATCTATTCCATAGAGTAGGATTGTTTCGACGTGATTATCGTACGAACTATCGTCGAACGATTTAATTGAAACAACGTAGATAAAACGTACGACAATAATTCGTGATATAAGTGATATAAGTGACTTCTAATGATTAGAAGTATATTGATCTTTTTACCATAGCTGCCACTGCCCGATCTCTTTCGCAATTAAAGATAAAGGTGTCAAAGATAGAAACGTGCGCGGTGTCCCATAACGTAGTCAAGTAAGTCTCCGTGAATTCGAATTCGGTCGGGTATTGTTGACACAATTGCCAAACGCAGTCGAGGTACAGTAGAAACAATGGAGACTGTGTACAGATACAATGAAAATAACTTCAATCGATGTGTTTCAAGAGAGTTTTCTAAAAGATATGAATATATCAAGCCTACCTTCTCCGAGTTAGTTTTAACAATATGGCCTAATCGGTCGCAAAATGGATGACCTCCAGCGACCCATTCTTTTTGCAGTAACGATTGAAAGCCCGTGATAGTGCGAAAATGAGGATCCAGTAATAGTTGAACTAAACCTGATATAACGCAGCATAAATCTCTACCGGCACCTTCTAAAAATGACATTTTCCTGAGTGGATCTTTGCTGATTAACCAACCATCGAACATTGCACATTAAAATGTTACCTTAATGAATCATACCTTGTAAGATGACAGAGTACCCTAAATTAAGACGGTCACAGACATCGACTGCTTTTTGCAAGCAGTACGATATATACTTAAGCCATTTTGTATTTTCTAACAACGAATAAAAATTATTATCTTGAATCCAAAATTGTCTAATATTTTCTGAAATATGTAGAAAGATATTCTTTTTAGTGAACATATTTAAACACATTGAGCACATGGGATGTCGTATAATTTGTCACTTACCTGCCGAACATAAACTAATGAATTTAGAAAAACCTACAGCTATTAACTTTACATTAATATCTTTATTTAATTCGATAACAACCGGCGGCATCTTCTGAGGATGGCTTTTACGAACATTTTCGAACATAATGTTCTCTTGCCTCCTCTCTGTTATCGTCGGTAACAATTCAGACATTTTTACTAACGCTGCTCCATACACATTTGTCCAAGACCACACCGGAGGTCTATTACCTTGAAAATGCCTCGCTGCATCTGTTAACTGACTATCGGTTACAGATGCAGGTACGATCACATATTGCGATAAACTGCAAAAATATACAGTAAGTGATATAATTTATATATTCATTGTGTAAATATGTGTCCAATGCCAGGTACCTAGGACAAAGCTGAAATTTGGCATTAACAGTAGATAATCTCCAACCTTTCCTGATTTCATCACTATTCAGTGTTCTTTTTAATTCGTTTTGCCAATCTGATAAATCTCGAAATAGTTGGACGTTTTTGTCAAGGCTGCTGTAATAAGCTTCCCTGTAACAAAAAAAAGTTACTTTAAATTATATATTATACACTATGTCTGTCTTAGATTTTTATTCATAAATTTTGACATACTTTTCCAGACTTGATATATTGATACTAACTTGTAATCATAGGCAAATAACAACTGATGTCTGCTAGGGAAAGCATGATGTAGCAATGCTGTAAGGAGATTTTTACCATGTCCAAGAGGAGAAAATTTGAAAGAGAAAGACCATGTTCTTAAATTCTGTAATTTTTAACACAATATATAACTCTTGTGATAATCTTACACACAGTATAATCTTAGTGATAATCTTACACACAGTAATATAGAACAAAGTTATAGAACAAAGCTGCTTTATTTTTATTTTCATTTTGATTAATCACTAACTCTGAATATTTAATACACATGTCTCTTAATTATTAAAATATTTCTTAATGTTAATTTAAAAGTTACAGTGTATTACTTAGTTTATTATAAGTAAAAAAAACTCACTTTACAAATAATGAATATTCCTTTCACTTTTGATGGTACTGTATTGCCAGGAACTAGTTTTCTTTTTTTATCACCCACCATTATGTAAATTTCATCAATATTTGTCAAACATGTATCTGTATACCCATATAGGTGATTTTGTTGGTGAGTAACATCCTGCAAACATAGATTTTGTATTCAAAATACTTGTCCCTTAATAATTAAATTTATTATTATAACATTATGACAGTTACCTCTCCATTCGAGTCATCACTAGTAATAAAAGTAAGCTTGAAATTAGTCACCGACAATACACCCGATATACCTTGCTTCAAGTCACTGACTGGTGAAAACATAAGAACACTTTGTGCTTCAGCAATAAGAACTTCTCCTGGTAATAATTTAATGCTATTCTCAATTAATGAATTACGGCGACTGGAACTCAAAGTCTGCAAACAAAAAATTGTGTTGACTAGCAAACTTAAATATCTCCAGTACTCTATCATAAATGAATAAATAATAATGTTTACATAGACAAATGTGGTTAGGGTTACCTGAATCTCATGCTCTTCAAGTCCCACATAACTGATAAAATTGTTGCAACTTTTGTTTTCCATAATAGACGCCTGACGATATTTTAATATTAACTGAACGCCGAAATTCACGGCTTATTACAGATCATGTAAACAATAGCAAACAATATTGAAATAACTCTGTGTTTGACTTCTCTTGTAGTTTCCATCACCGTATTACGAAATATCCACTGCGTGTTTGAGTAAAAATGAAATATTTAGCTCGTAGATACCAGAAACTCCTCCACATAAATGGGAGGTAGTAAAATATAATAAGATATAAACAATGAAGGAAAAAAAAGACAACTCCTTACTGCACAATAAACAAGAATACCACACACAATTTGCGGTTATTTGTCCATCCTCCTGGTATACGTTTCTAACCAATCCTAATGCCGAATCGCCCTTTCATAAAACTTTACGTACAGTAAACACTCTTGTGTTTCTTATTTTCTATGTTCATCATATTTGCTCAATGATTGGTTAATTCCTCGTTAAGGAAAGTGGCGGCTCGTAGTGAAGACTTTAGAACTAATTTACAAAAATAACGGCTTCAAGGAGTGCATTAGACCCGTTATTTCTTAAAATTAGTTCCAAAGTCTCCGCTACGAGCCGCTACTTAACGAGAAATTGAAGTAGTGATGGCTATAAACAGCATCTGGCCAATACATTTTTTCTATATTGTATTGAAATAATTGGTTTGTTCTTTTTAGCTGCACTGCTGAACTGATGCGATAAGTTAAAGTGAGAAAAAAGATTTTTGTCTCATTCTAACTTATTGCATAGTTCAGCGATAAAGGTAAAAAGAACAGATTACATGATACAACTCGATAAGTAATATATAAGTATACATACGTTTCAAATACATGCATTTTGTGCATGTGGCCACGGATGACAGGTTTCATAACCTTTTCGTCACGATGATAGGTTTCATAAATTTAGTCAGAATGGTGTTGGGGAAAAATCATTGGATTACCTGGAACCAATATTGAGAGAGAGAGAGAGAGAGAGGGGTTTCATAACCTGTCAGACTCGTTAACTTTAACGATTAATATCTCGCTTTGCAAAGCAGAGCAACGATTTTCACTTTCATGTTTGATTTCTACGCGTGAAAATACACACATTATTGATGAGTTTCAGCCAAATCGAAAGTGAAGACTCTAAACTATATAATTCACATTCAATAGAAGCTTAACCCAACATTAAAAAAGTTTGCGTGTTAATGAATATTGATTAATGTGTTAATTAATCTACAAATATCCCGTGTTAACTAATCTACAAATATCACTTGGAAACAATAAGAGAAGGAAAATGGCTCCTCTCCCAATAAGGAACAAATGAGGAAACTTTTCAGCTTATTAAAAAATCTATCGATTAGTATGATCGGGAGATATTCAAAACTACGAGAATGTATAAGCTTTTATTTTTATTAATATGATTCGTCTACACAGGAAAATGAAAATTTCCAATGGATAAAATAAAAAATATAATGTACGTCTCGCTACCTTCTTTTTTGGTAGACTGATACGAGAGGAAGGATAAGACAAACAATATAAATACTATAAAATCTACATACACAGGCGTTTGTTACGGCGAGTTACTAAATACATAGTTTGGTCTCCTTTCTGGCTAATAATATAGCTCGCACGCGATAATTTACAATAAAGTACAACTCTCATCCAAGGCGCAAATAATATTTTGCTATATGTTCTTTAATAAATATTGCAAACAATGCGTATGTTATAAATAACATGAAGAGAGAGAGAAGGCGCTAAGTCTAATTGCTTGCGAAGTGACGAATAATATAATCGTATTGTTCGTATGTTGATACAGATTAACAATAGAGTACCTAAAACGCTGTTTCTTCGACCCTCTATAACCCAATTATTATTATTATTATTATAGAATTTCGTAGTTCTTGTTCCATATATACGACAAGTAATTGACGCCGTTTTCCCCTACGATATTACTTTTGGATAAAATCACCGTGAAAAGAGTCGATCAACCGGTATCTGCTGGAGCAACCTGACAATTCCCTGGCCCTGAAGATCGTCACTTGGAAATTATGCTGGGTTATACAGGGTTAAAAAGATAACTACCCGCTTATGTAAAAAATGCTAGTCATTCGTACAATCTGTATACATAATACATAATCTATTGTCGCGCAGAATGCCGTACATTTCGATTACTCGGTAAAAATAATGTATGTATAATGATATCGTCATTTTCTATACATATAAAACGACAAAACCGGATAATATCCCTTTTTTCATCTTCTGCTTCTTCTTTTTCTTCTTCTTCTCAGTAGCCCCGTAGACCAGTATGGCCAATATATAAATAATAATAATTGGTAGGCTCTCGTAAAATCAATTGTGATCGCTGAGGGAATATTGTGTGTCCTGAACGGACTTGAGAGAGACAGAGAGAGAAGTAGACCGAAATCTCGAGTTATTTACAAAGATATGAAATCAATGCTATATACAGGAATGACAATTCCTTTCGTGTGTCCTTTCGATGCACCGATCGCCAGACTTGACAAAATGACGAGACAACAAAATTATGAACAGTCAATATCTCTCATCTTAAAAACCCTTAAGTAACAATAACGGAAGATAGGCGGATCATTGGATTCTATTCAAGTGTAAGTACAGCGATACGCTCTCGTTATCATGTATATCTCGATTGCAAGTTCTTCACTCTCTAAAATTCACTTCCATTTTTACTTCAGTACGGACAACAGTGCGTATATACGGTTTTTTTTTCTCCTTTCTCTATGACGTATCAATACCGATCGTCTCTTTAGTATTGACATTTCTCCTGTCCATTTAGAATAAGGCTATTTTAGGTCTGTAGCCATTGTAATAACTGTTATTTATAACGTGTGTGTGAGAGAGTGCTCAAAGTACGTAATCGTATGCTCGTAATTGAGCGTCGCGACGTTTCTCGTATATGCTGCGCCTCTCTCGATCGATGTACGCTTGTACGTCAGTCAACACTTATCAATTTCGCGTATCCGTGCAGGTTTCCTCGTTTAAGGCTCCACCTGGCTTCTCCTCGTCGCAGAACTGTTGTTTGGTAACATCAGAAGCGAGAAAACATATGCCGAAAATTCTTGCGAAATATGCTGAAATAAAGGGGTATATTCATAAAACGTACTTTCGGGACTGAAAATAAAAAGGGTAGGTTGCGTGTCACGTTAATTTTACAGTAATTAATTGGTGGTTAGAGCAAAAGGGAAGCGTACTATTTTACATTATTACTAGTACTATTTTACAGATGTGCCCGATCGATTGCAAGTATATCTTTTTCTTTATTTCAACGTGTTCTGCAAACATTTTTATCGTCTCGTCTTTGACGTCATTAATCAAAAGTTCTGCGGCGAGGAGGAGCCAGGAGCCTCAGAACTGAGTCACAAAACACGTGTACAATGTAACGGACTTGAAATTACAATCAGAAATGTAACCGGACGCCCCGCGTATGCGGAAACATTCGGAGAACTTCGTTTTTTTTTTTTGTTTTCGATGTTTATTCTCAACTGCTATCACTGAATTTGATTAGAAGAGTAACTGCTATAGCGAGATCTCACTTTTGATCTCGAACGTTTTGTATGTCACGCGCATCACACTCCGATATCGATCGTCTATCTACTTTTTGTTTTTCTTTCCTTCTTATATGTCTTCGTGGCGAATGAAAATCACGCGGGAGAATTAAGAGGATTCCAAGTAAAAAAAGAAGAAAAAACGAGTAGCAACAATTGGGTTTCGATTCGGTCAGATCAGACCTCACTACAGAGAGAGCGCAGTCGAGGCTCAATTATTACAACGATAATAAACTAACACTAGCGACGCTACTATTTGTTGCATTCTCTCGTTTTTCTTTTGTTTAAATATATATATGTATAAGAAAGATCGTTATATCGTGCGTTTTTTTGCGTGACGATAAAATGCCGAAACTTTGTTGTCAGCAGTTTGCTCGAGTCTCTTGATCACTGAGTAATGTTATTCCGTACTTAAGCTACTGGCATAGAGTCCTGAGACAGTTGTCTTGTTGTAACAACCCTTATGATTTTCTCATAGTTGTCTTTTTAATAAATATACATATAAATGTATGTATATATATATTATATATATAGATCTTTCATAAACGTACACAACTTGTTTAAGTGTTTCAAGGTTTCTTTCTTTTTTTACTCTCTCCTCGAATTATTTAGTTTCGCTTGCATCTCTTATATTCTTAGATATAGCTATAAGAAACCGATATATAGTAATCATATAAATTGTTAATTACACGAAACATGAATATATACTTGTTCGAAATAAATTAGTTCCATTTGGTCTTACACCTTGCGTACTGGCACTTTACCCACTCGTTATAAAAGTAACGAAAGCATTGTAGTCTCATAACATACGCGTTTACGTTACTTAAAACCTAATCCGCATACACTAATTTACAAGAGAACAATTTAGGGCGTCCTGACTCAATGAAAATATTTCTTCGTCGCCTTTTCGTCATTATTAACATTGTCCCTAGTTTCGATACATTGCACTTAAACATATTTAACTTGTAATCCTTTATATCTTTAGGAATCGTCAGGCTGTATGTATGTATGCGTATGTGTACGCACGCGTATGTATGTGTGTGTATGTATGTATGTATGTATGTGTGTGTGTACATAATCATTCCTTTCCTACGACACACTATCATTGTAAAATGATCCGCGCTAAAATTCTGTTAATTGGTAATTACATCTTCGATCAAAGAATGAACGGATAAATCGTCCAAGGACAATGCTCGTTCTATTTCCTGTTGGAGGCGGGGGTTGGGGGGTAACTCGATACACACGATACATATTTCCTTTGCCGCATACTTCCTCGACACGACGCGAATATATATATATATATATATATATATATATATATATATATATCTACGCCACGTGGATGTGAGTGCAAATGACCTCTCTCTTAACAGCTACTTATTATCATCAGGAGCTTTCGCAACACATTACACGATCGTTCTACTATTCACACGTCGAATAATACCATTATACATTAGTGCATTATGACGCGATAGAAAACACTTAGTCATAAGGCATCGAATCGATTCCGCGCTCTATCTAATTTGTTATACGTTGTTAAGTCGGGAATAGTCGCGCGCACGCAAGAAGCAATTCCGGGGCGACAAGATTGGATTTTGATTAAACGTAACTCGGAGATTCGAGAATGTCGGTGGGGCGGGCTGCGGTATACGCTGAATTTATTATAGGAAAACCGGTGTTAATATCTCGTAATCGGCATACCAACTACCCGCGCAGCTACAACATGTAATAAAATCGCGCAGCTATTCCGGGCATAACGACGGATTTTGTTAAGTATATTTATACGCTCGCAGCTACTGTATCTCACCTAAAGTCCAGAATACGCGTACAATACATTAAATAGTTTAAATTTTATTGCTAGTTAATTTGACTGACATTTCAATTTTGTGAAACATTCAAATGTGAAATTATTTCCGTTGATGTAAAGAATGAAAAAAAAACTACTAAAAAAAGGAAAAAAAAGATAAAATATGGCATCGAAAAGCGGACTGAACGATCCTTGAGTATATAAAATATTTACAATAATTTACGATTGCAATAATTTTTTTCTCGTTAAGTCATATAAATATAAATTATTACATTAAACTCTTAATCATCAGAAAGATATTAAACGCACTGTTGCATCTCGTGAAGATTTACTCTGTCGTTCGTGTAAACAACTGAATAGCGCGTTTATTTGTCAAAGCGCATGATTATCATACTTGTTTGTCTTATATATCGTATAACATTAAATATGTGTAATCATATTGCACGACGATAAGACAATACCGCGATTCGACTGTTCTGTTCAAAGAACAAATAAGTGCACTGTGATTCTGCAAAAAGTACATCATAAATATATAACTATATATGTTAGGCTCGCGAATTTCACCAATTAAGCTTGGAATTGTCAAGTAATCAAGTTTCCAGCACTGATCGTTCATTAATTCAACGTTATGATTATATAAAAACCCGTTATTAACAAGAAAATTTACGGAGAACGAAAAAGCAAAATAAAAAATAAGCTTAACATACGTATATGTATATGTATACATACATACATATATATATATATATATATATATATATATATATATATATATATATATATATATATATATATATATATATATATATATATATATATATATATATATATATATATATATATATATATATATATATATATATATATATATATATATATATATATATATATATATATATATATATATATATATATATATATATATATATATATATATATATATATATATATATATATATATATATATATATATATATATATATATATATATATATATATATTGTGATTCGAGACAACACTGTTAACGTTCGAGGATTGATCGACGATGACGAAGAAACAAACGACAAAATTGTATCAAAAGCATCTCTGCATTAGGCGGTATTTAGGCCACCAGGTTTGCGGTAAGCCTTCACGTTTATCTTACATCAAAGACAGAAGATGGAAAACAATCCAGCTCATTACTTTAGATTAATCTTCGTGTGGAAGCCCATTGCGACGGCTACTCTATCGGGGAACTAAGGTCAGATTGCCTAGCTTACTGATGCTTCACGTACAAATTTGTTTTTTTTCAGCAGCGAAACGTGACTTCTTTGCTTTCAAAAGCAGCTATGTCAGCCTCCACCAATTCGCAATCGATGTCGATGTTGTCTCGAAACAGTCTGTATATATTATAGGGACGCGCGCGCATACGTATATATCCGATAAATAGATCATTTCTCGAGTATGCACTAGATACATACCGTCTAACTAGGTCTCCATAAGCGTTAAATAAATTTATGAATCATACGACGATGATCCATGATCGTGGGCGGGACTCGGTGGTGTCGATGGGTTTGAACTGTTGTTCGAAGCTATCGAGTGTCTGGGGCTCCCACCAGATGGATGTTCCTATGTGAACAATACATACACACATAAGTTACATTATTTACGATACATTTGCGATAACAAAATATCATATATATTATATTTCAATATAATATAAGGCAAATGAGTTTGAGTCTACGGTCTATTCTTTCGCTCAATAAAAAATACACGCATAAATTACATCTGCAAATGTACAATTCATATTTTCAGGGCCACAATAAATACACAAGTCCAATAAATTGTAATAGGCATTTGCGAGATTACATTTGCGAAAGTCATCCTCGTCATCATCTTCACGTACCTTATTATGCAAAGATGCGATACTGCCGAGAGAGAGGGGTGTATGTGAACGCAAATGTACCGATTCGGAGTCAATTTGGTCCACTGGAGTGCGCGGTAAGGACGGTGGTGTGGCGGTTGGTCGTGGTGGTGCAGGGCCTCTTCGTGATGTTGTTGAACCTACGTACATTTCGCATTTTGAAATGTAATGCAGAATTGTGCTCGAGTCTAATTAGACTCAACTATTGTACAAAAATTGACGCTATGTTCTTTCATGCGTAATGCGTTTTCACTTGTAACGTTAGAAGTACATTCTTACTTTGGCAAATCGGTTGTTCTAGAATATTTGCAACAGCTCTAGAATATCCTGTTGAAATTTACCATTATGCGGCGAGTATCCGGAGTTTCTTGACATATGCGAACTCAAGCGACGTGTATCGGAAGGGGGATGCCTAGGAGGCAGCGGTGCCGGTTTGCTCGGTGTTTGAAGCGTAGAGTCATATAGCTACGAAGAAAAGGAAAAGATCAAGAGAGTTCATGGTTTGCAGAGAGTGTTACGAATTAGAATGAAATATGATCTGAGAATGAGAAAATCTACGTTTTACAGAATTCACGTCACTTACTCTCTGTTGACTACTGTGAAGATGAGAACTACTATGATGACCGGTTGTATGTTGTTGATCAGCAGTTTCTAATGTTGTTGGTAGGTCTAATAAACGTTGTATCTGTAATACAACACAGAGAAGGTATATAAGACATATATATTATATGTATATGTCATAAGTCGTCGAAGGTTTCGTATAAACCTGATACTTCGAGCTTTACACACCTGTATCCCGTTGCCTGGACCCATATGGCTGATATGATTGAAATTTGTCGGTGCAGAAATCATCTTTGAACGTCTGTCCGTAGGGCGAACGGCTCGATTGCCCTCTCTCAAAGAGAACCTACGTCGTGGCCTTGTCATTTGCCTACCGCTTGCATCCAGTGGTGTCAGATTTAATAGTTCTCCTATCGCGGTATGTACAAGATTAATGAATAATGACGACACACAGTACCGACAATAAAATAGCGTGTAAATGCAACATGACTCGTGTTGCGCATTTATGCGCGAGATATACTTACGCTGATGTAAATTGCTCAGATAAATGACATGTGGCATATCATTTATCACACAAGATGTAAGAGAGCCCGAGATGTTTAGCGGTCGGGCGCGTTTCACGTTGAGAGTTTGCAACCAGTCGCCAGATGTACAGTCAAACACGTCGATATGAGTCTCGCTATACACTAATAAATATCCTTCGCAATAGCCTATAATTTACAAATATAATAAATTTAACAATGACAGAGATGACAAAGACAAAAAATACTAGATATATTAAGACTGCGACGACCAAATTTATCGTTATAAATATGATAGACTACAAAGTGATGATGGTATGGTCAAATATATAGTATTAAAAATGTAATAGAGTATGGAATGATAATAGTATAAAAATATAATAGAATATAGAGTGATGATAATCGTGTCGATGATCACTAATATACTTACTAACAGCTGTAGGAACTGCAGGATACATAATCTCTCGGTCTCGATTCTTCCTCCCTTGACTGTCGACATATACCGCTAGCGTATGGAAGACTAATAAAAACTCACCGCGCGCTAACTCAATGCAACGTAACGCATCTATGGCGCTGTAGGTGAGAAATCCTAAGAGAGTATTCTCAGCATGGACCAAAGCTGTGAAACATCACGCATTACTTTCAGAATAAAGAACACAAGTGTATGGTAAAAAGAAAAGAACTTTTCTACTTACAAATAGGATGATGATCTCCTAAGATACTGTAAATCGAAAAACCAGACGGGTAACCGACGCACAAGCGTCCCTCAGAGAGAACTTGCAAGGTTTGCGCGAGACACGGTAACATTAACTCGCGTATACGCTTATGTCTCGTTTTCGTGCGTGTTATTTCGTAAATAATGACTTGCGACGCATTCTAGAACGACAGACGTACCGAGTTACATACTGTGAACAATACAAAACTATGTCGTTACACTGTGACAAAATACTATATAATAGTCTTACTTGTTTCTTTATTGCAACGCATAAGCAATAAGTAAGCGGATTACGGCGCACTATTCCCGTTGTTAATGTGATACATCCTTTAGTTTCTGCGACCTTAATCCATTCGACTTCATCTCCATCCAAGGCACGTACTGGAACCAGTCGTACATGGCGTTGTTTTCCGCTCAATACCACGATTAGTTGTTCTTCAGTAACGTATTCGAGAAGATATATCTTCTTTCCTTCCCCAACTCTTGCAATTTCTGTAAATGTATAGCAATAATGAGTTCATTATTACTGTATTTATGTTTTTGTCGTAATTGCCAATATAGCTAGTAAAAACCCAAGAACCTTAAGAATTTCTTATAAATTAAAAAGGAAATGATCTGAGAATCTTTTATGAGTTAAGTACATCATTTTGTTAGAATAGCTTCTGTGACTTACCACTACGGTCTAAATCTAAACAGAAGAGACCTTCCTCTGTACCAATGACTAGACGATCCGGATCAATAATCGCTCCTGACATTACATTTTTAATGAATGCCAAGGTATTGTCCAATAATTCCTTCGCTCTAAAAATCTGCGACAAGATATACAATACATGAAATAAAGAGACAATAATGGGATGAACAAAGAGTACAAACATGAATTGTAAACCAACATACCGTTGTGTTTGGAAGATTATTTCTCTTTAAGATCCTATGAAGCTCACTTAAAGCTACTACCCATTTTGTCTTCTCGCTCTCTGTATCTGCCAACATCAGCGTATGATTTCTCAATCCAGGAGGCTCTAATAGCGATGTCGTTATCTACAAGATAAAATAATGATTTATTCCAGATTGAAAAGTACAATATACAGCAGACTTTTAATTATTTTAAATGATCGAGAGAATATAAAATTAGCTTCAAGGATCTACGAATAAATTTATGCCAGCTAATTCTGTCGTACATAATGAACGGTCTACTGTACGACAAGACAAAAATATTGAAATTTTACCCTAAATATACACGGAATGTCCTTCTTTGTAGCGTGTATTACATCAGAATCACGAACAGAGCTAACGCTGAATTCTTCGTCCCGCATATCTAGGACTTGCGAAACGTATACAGACGGCAAAGCATTGCGATCCGGTGAAATATCGTAGAGAAATAACTTGAAATCGCAAACTACGACGAATTGGCGCACCCAACCCTTCTTGACACCACCCATTTTTGGCACTTTCACGTATCCTTCGTACGCAGTACCTATCCCACGCGTAGGATCGATCCCCAATGGTCGCTTGGCTGAAACGATCAGTTTGTTTAGAACTTGCAAGATACTACAATTTAAAACTCAAACTTCATAAAAGAGATAGAAGAACTCTGATTACTTTGATCGTGAGGTACGGGACACATCGGCGGTACTTTATCGCAACAAGGCATATGGCACGCGAAGCCGCACACTTCGCACACAACTCCTTGCCTCGTTAATCCAACCATTAAGGACGTACAATGATTACACTTGGTGGGCGCTGAAAATGTTCGTACGAGAAACTGATGCGACTTTGGCTTTGGTTGCAGATTAGCTTGACCGTGAGAAGATGAAGACTTGTTTAGAAGTTCATGGGATAATGGCGATGTTGGATCCTACGCAAAAGAAAGTAAACGTGAGCTCGTTGCTTCGCGAGAAAAATGAAAACCTCGTCTACTTTAATTAATAAAAGTTAAGATAAACGTGTAAAATATTTTTAACGGCATTACATCGAACATGTAAAACGTCAATATCTACGATCTCTTTCGATTCCTTAAATTCATTCGCATTGCAAGATACTTACAATACTAAGCTCGGACAAATTACTTTTGCTGCTCGTAATACTAGGTGCACGATTGTCTTCGATGTCACCTTCTACACTGTCGACACTTCCATGACGCGTACTACTTGTTGTTTCTTTGAGAAAGTGTTCGAGATACGACATCTGCGATGTAGGACGTTCTAAAACTGATCAAGGATAACGATCAGATTAACAGGCGATAATGATGGAGCGTAGATGCTGGATGTAAAATTTCGTAAGATTTGCAAAGGGTTGCGAACGTGAGAAATAACATCGTCGTCCTAGTATTAATATATCAGCAACGTACAACAACGTCTTACCTGAAAACACGGTACAATTTTTTAGCAGAAAACAGAGAAACATGCGCTTCGAATACTAAGCAAAAAGTAACAATTGTACCGTAAACGAATTGTTCTACGGACTCCAACACACGATTGTCGGACATGCTTGTCTAAGCGGTATCACGAAAACAACATAATAAACATGCTCCGTTATGGGAAACATAGCTACCGCGAGATGGGATAAGACTGTATTAACGAAAGTAAGTCGTCAAATACGTGAGTTTTAAGTGGTGTAACAAGCGAGATAGTGCACGCAACACGTACCTGTTAATCGTTCGATTAAAATAAAAGTCAACCGGTGGAGTGAAGATCACTAAAGCTAATCGTTTTTATCTAGAGACAATTTAAAAAACAAATTCACCAACACCACTACGACTTGGACGAGAATGACATTGGGCTTGACAAAATTCACACCAATCGTCTCCATATTAAAATGGGATATTACAAGTAACACAGTGCTATGTTTCGAGAGGGACCGAGCCTCGAGAGAGGCAGACAGATAGACAGACAGACAGATACAGATAAGGATCTCTCCTTCCTCTGACTTGAACGAAAAACGGAGAAAAGAAAATGATAAACATAGCGCTGTGCTGTGTTTAATTAGCAGTACAGTCGGCCAACCAATCCAAAGTCGCTCTTTTGCTGCCACATCATTTACCGGGCGGCGATACGATGGCGACGGCATTCTGACTGATGAATGTGTTGACTGGAACGAATCTAGTTAATAAGCGACAAGTCGTGATGCGGGGGGCACGCATTACTGGTAGGGGTGACGACGGCTGATGTACGATGATACGTTGGGGTTTGGTGCTAACGATGTTTGGAGATTTGCTTGATGTGTTGCTGGATGAGACAGCTGTCACAAATATAGTTTGAAGATGAGCAACAAGAGGCCCCACACGCAGCTCGTTACGCCAATAAACAGAGGCACTTTGTAGTCTAGAAATCAGAATCGCATACCGTACTGGAGAATCGAATTACTATGCTACACAGATCCCAGTAATAACGATCTCTACGAATCGTACTTCGCAATCGATATATGAAGCACATTTAACGCATGTCTGAAGTCGTACAAATTTTCTTGCAGACGGACAAAAGACATTTTGTAGTCTGGAAATATCTAGATGTGTAACACATGCCATACCAGGCAATCAAGTTGTTCTGTTGAATGATGATCGTAGTGGCAACGATCTTTACAACTGTGTGTATGTATATGAATATAAATATGTGGATGTGCATGTTTTACATGTTGAAAATAAAAAATATACATATCGTTAATTCATCTTCTCAATAATATTACTTGTTCTTCCATTTACATTGGCTATGTTTTCCCGTATTCTCAAGCGAATTAATACGTTTGCATCATGTACATATTTGTTCCACTTGCGGTACGACTTTGCTTTTCTCGCGACCGGGATTTAGTTTCATCGTTAGAATGGTGATTCTCTGATAGAGCTCCTACGTCAGTAGGACAGTGATAATTGAAAGACGTGTCGGGAGAATTAACGACAATTAAGTCCTCACTGTCTTCTTCTTTGTTAGAAGACAAATCTTTTGATAAAACTTACTTATTGGATATTACATAATGTTGTTTAGGAAATAATAGATGAAAGCATGACGAGTTTTAATCTCATGTCCGAAATCAGCGGGATCAGCAGAGATATTGGGAAACGCAGATTAACTTTCGACGAATTTATAATAAAGGAAGCAAAAAATGTGGCATGTAAAAAGTATGGCATGTAAAAAGACAAGATCTTAGAGAAGAAACTATCGGGTATGCCCACAAATCATTCTGTCGATTAACAGAAGACAAAATAATTATTAAAGAGAGGTCAATTTTTTGCAACAACTGTCTGATATTTTTATACATGGCACAATCGAATAGGCTGTACAAAAATCTACGAGAAAAACTAGCGTATACTACGCAGTGCGTCATATTACTTCCATCTTAGCATCCATAACTACGGTAAGATAATAAAAAGTAATCGACTAAAAAAAGTAATATAATTGTATAAAAAAAAAAATAGTAAATTATTTAAGGTACTATTCTATCGCTATAGAGATTATGTAACGTTCAGAAATTTCAGTGTAGTTTTAAACCAATTGAAACGTAAAGATAACACTTTAAACGATAATAAAACGACTAAAGAAATACTAGAGAATGTTTTAACTTGTTCTCAACAACACATAAATTTAACAAATCTCTTCATTCATCCACATTTCAAGGTAACCAATTAAACATTACATTGAACATAATCATAAATTGATAAACGAATAATTGTTGTGTGTATATATAAACAACTATTTACCAATATATATAAAATAGTTCCACAAAGCTGGCTCGAAGATATGCATGCAAAAGCCGTCACCGATAATGCAAGTTTAATATATAGAAGAATCTCAACGAGATTAGAATAAAATACGAATAAGATACTCGATATATGTCAGCAACATTTTTATGCCAAAAAGTCAGAATTTAGAGCACGTTCAATGCTTGAATAAAAATTAACACATTTACAAATAACGTACATAACATGTACAGCTACGACTTGCATAATAAGGGTGGACGCGGTATTCCCGTAGCGATATAATGAGCGGACCTTTGTGCGTTTCTTACTTTTCGCATTGTCGATTGAAATGTACTTACAGCCATCCCCGGTATCAAGACGCGCTTGCAATTCTTTTACTTGCATATCTTTCCGCTTCAGCTCATGCGACATGGTGTCTAGCCGCTGCTTGAAATCTCTCAGTTCCCTAAAAAAAAAAGAGAAGGTGGGAAGAAGTTAGAGCCGATTCATTTCTCGCGTGCGATTGATGCAAGATCTCTGTGCAACTTACTTTTGCGAGGCTATCAAGTCCGAGCGAGTCTTGGTAAGTTCCTCTGAAATCGCTTGTTTCGCTTGTATTTCGCTCTGTAGGGAACTCTGCAAGTTCAAAAGCTCCATCTTGTCGAGCTTCTGCGACCGACGATTTCGCCAATTTTTGTCCGCCATGGTGGTTCCACTTCCGACACCACCTACTCCACCAGAATGCTTCAAGAACTCCAGTTCTTCCGTCATCTTTGTAGCTAAGGCCTGAAATCGAAAAACAAATGATTGTCCTTTCTCTTTACACTGATGGATATCTCAGAGGATACACGCGTCATAGTTAAACCGGCGACAAACCTACCTGCAGGTATCCACGAGCATCTTTCTCATCCGACACCCACTGAATAATCTCGGTGATCTGAGCTTCCCACTGCGCGATAGCTTCTTTCTTATTCCTCAGTTCCTCGTATTCATCTTCCAATTGTCTTCGTTCACCTTGCAGTCTATTAACACTATCGGTAAGAGCACCAAGCTCCAACATGAGCTTCTTATTCTCTTCGACCAGCATGATCTTCTCTCTCTCGTGACGTCTGTTCAACTCGTTGATCGTTTCCTCACTATCGGTAATATTTTCTAGTCTCGCAGCATCTAGCTTCTCCTTCGTGAGTTGCACCTCTCTCTCCAGTAATTCTCTTCTGGTTTCCGCTTCGTGCAGTTGTTCTTGCAGGCTTCGAATGTCAAGATTAAACCTGCTCTGTTGCTGGGTCAAATTTTCGTTATATTGTACCTCGAGTTTCTCAACCTCCGCCTTTAACCTATTGATCTCTTGCGTCGCCAAGGCATGATTTGCGCTGGCATCGTTCCCGAGAGAACGTTGTCTGATTTTCTCCGTTTCCTCTTGCATCTGTTTGCAATATTCCTCACTGCGTTCTCGTAATTTCCTCTCCTTGCTGGTCTCGGCCATCGCTTCGTCGACTCTATTTTCCAGCTCTCTACGCAGCTTTTCGGCTTTTCGGATGTCGTGGCGTAAACTGTCGACTTTTTGCATTACAACCTCTAATTCCTCTTCCTTATCTCGAACCTGTCGCGATAATTTTTGCTTTTGTTGTCTCAACTCGGATAACTTATCCGTCACCTCCGTGTATTCCGCCATCGCGAGTTTACGCTGTGTGAGCGCGTCCTTTAATTCTTTATCTTGAAGTTTCAGTTTCTCCTGCGCATCTAATTTGTCCTTAACAGCCTCCTCTTTCTCTAAGCGTAGACATCGAACTAATTTCTCTAATTCGCGAAACTTTGTCATGTCGCCGTTATCTAATGTCCGTAGTTCGCGTGGAACTTCCATAGATTTTAATTGCGACTCCAACTCTATACGCAGAACAAAAAGATTTTCCATCAACATTGTTTGAGACTAGCACGAAAGTGTCGCGTGACTCAAATGTAATAAAATCTTACCGCAGTTGCGTTTCGTAAGTGTATTTATTTCGTCTCGGAGCTTTCTAGTCGCATTATTGGAGTCGGGAGAAATGTCGGGCGAAGAATGAGCCATACCCGAATTTTTCATATCATCGATAGTTTGTATCAGTCGGGCATTCTCTTCCTCGAGTATTTGCACGTGTTTGTCTTTCTGAGATAGGGCGGAGATACAACCCAGATCCGATATGCAACTGCAAATTTCAGCGACATAAGCAAACATATCACTAACTAACGAAGGTTAGCGCCAATGCTCTGTTACATGTGAATAAAACTACGAGTTTCGTACCTTCCCTGTGTAAAACTAAAACCGACAAACGGCAGGTGAAGCGCGGAAAAGGCAGAATTTGCGGCTGGCGGAACGGCGTCGGAAGTGCGAACGTCGGTATCGTCTACGTCGAAATTCGACGTATCACTGGGCGATGAAACATCAGGAATGTACGGCGCGGTGCTGTCTCTCAAAGTATCCCAATTAACTCCGTCGAACCAAGGATGTTTCTAACATTCAAGACGCACGTTAGAAACAAGGAAGCACCCACGGATGAAGAAACAATGATGAACGACGTAGTGCGTAAGATATACCTTGAAGTCGTCGATTCCATTTTGGCCTAGTCTAAATTCAGAACTGCAAATCAGCTTTCTCATCAGATCTTTGGCTTCTTCAGAAACATCGTACATATCGTCCGTAGGGAAGTCAAAACAATTCTGCAAGTATGAGAAAAAAAAAGTAGTGAAATGAAATTCAAACTTTCATCGATGAGTGAACAGATCACGTAATTTAATCAAAAGATCCAGATTTTGTTAAGGAACATCAGGAAGTTTACCTTGTGATTCATGATCTTTCCATAAGTTTCGACTAGAGATTCTGCGTAGAAAGGTGTTTCGCCGTACAGCATTTCGTACATACACACTCCGAGGGACCACCAGTCACATTCCGGACCATATTGTCCCTGACCGTCCTCCATCGCCTGACAAACACATATGAGGCGATGATGTGTACATGATAATGCATCTAACAATACCCACATATCTGATGCCACTTTTTTTTAGAAACGCGCACAATGCGCAAATTTACCCTCAATATCTCCGGTGAAATGTAGTCCGGGGTACCGACCGCGACATTACTTTGCACCGTTCCGTCCTCGAACAATCGTAAGCAAGAGCCGAAGTCAGCCAGTCTGATATGACCATTTGCGTCTAACAGAACGTTATCGGGTTTAATGTCACGATGCACATAGCGCAAGTCATGTATAGAACCTATAGCTAGCACCATTTCCGCTATGTAGAATCGCGCCATATCTTCGGGGAGACGGTCCTCAAATTTGCTCAATAACGTTAATAAATCTCCGCCGCAATAGTAATCCATGACCAAATACTATGTCGACACATGGAAAAAATTCGTTAGATTCGTTAGATTCTCAGGTTACCCGATATTTTCTTCAGAGGTCTGTTCTTTTTTCGAACGACTTCCTGAACTGGTGTACGCTAATGCAATAAGTTAGAATGAAACAAACTATATTTATTTCATTCTAACTTATTGCACCGTTGTACACTAGTTCAGGAAATTCTTTGAAAAAGAACAAGCTTCATTAGATATGGCAAATCAATATCAGTTACCAAGTTATTGTCATCTTGAAAGGCATAATGCAGGTTCGTGATCCATCTGCGATCACCATATACTAATACATCCCTTTCTTCCCTGAAACACGCGGTTTCAGCACGCTTTAACATCTCCCACTTATTCAAGATCTTCATGGCGAACACCTTGTCCGAGCCGCGCATTCTTACGACGCATACTTCCCCGAAAGCACCTCTACCGATGACTTTAACAATTTCGAAGTCCTCTCGTGTCAATTGCAAGCTCTTTATGCATGAGGCTATCGGTTTTACTGTAAGAAAAAAACCAATGATGCAACCGACACAAACGCCAGCTGGATACATTCGATGCATGGATATTTGAGACTTTTAAGGTATGGAAAAAAAATTTTTGGATTCCAGCTCGATTCTTTCGTGAATTCATTTTCAAGCACAAATCCATGAAGAATGTGGCATCAATACAGGATGCAGAGACCTGTTCTCTTTCGAAAGTTAGTAAAACAAGATATACTTGTTTCACTCTAACTTACTGCACCAGTATACACCAGGGAGTTTTTCAGAAGAGAACAGGCTTATATATAACACCAATAATCTAAAGAAATATAAGGTCTGTTCGTTTTTTAAAAACTTCCGCACTAATGCAATAAGTTAGAGTGAAACAAGTATATATTTAGTCTGTTCTTTTTCGAGGAACTTCCTGAACTAGTGTATACTACGCAATGAGTCAGAAAGTGAACCAAATATATTTTATTGACTCTAACTTATTGCACCAGTGTACACTAGTTCAGCAAGTTCCTCGAAAAAGAACAGACCTTTTCTTTCACTCTAACTTATTACATTAGTATGTACTAATTTAGAAATTCTTCGTAAACAGATCTAATATTGTGAGGCTGAACGCTCAAAAACAAATGCATACCAAACTCGATAAAGTCGGAAACAGTCTTTTCACGGCGTAACGAGGAATTGCAGCATTCGTCGTACAGCACGAGCAAAACATCGATAAGAGTCTCGATGGAAATCGTATGGCCTACTCGTCCACCTTGGCCAGGGCCACCGATGAACAGGCCTTCGAGTTGGCGTAATCTTCCTCCTATGCCTACAAGGTATTTAGTCTTGTTTTAGATGTTCTTGACTTCACATGTACATAGAAATTTGTTATATTTATGTACTGCATGAGTCATACATGTATTTTGCGTAAAGCATTTTGTGTGTATACGTATGTTTATACATGTGATTATATTTTCTAAGCATCTAACAACTGATACCATTATTTGGAAGTCCCTTTGGCATAATATCAGGAGGAAGGTGGCCGTAAAGATATTGTGACGAATCTGACATGTCTCTTTGCTGATAAGATTGTTCCTTACCACAATCTATAGAGGATATTTCCATTGTTCTTACTAGCATTCGTTACCTCCTTATACCACATTGTTATGCACTGATTAAAATTTCTGCAATATACAATTGGTTACTGTAATGATCATTTCAAATAAGTAAAAGTTGCATTTGTGGCTATTATATGTCCACAAATCTGACATTTATTGTAAATTATTCTTTGTTTCTTATCATATAATAAAGAATACAAGTATATTAACTATATAAATTTTTTAATTTCTGCTTCCAGAAAAACTGTCTCATAGCTGTTCTTTATATCTATTATTTATATCAAGATCTCAGCTGATTAACAATCTCAACTTTTTTATCTCTGAGTTTTTATCTCTATTTTATTTTGTAAAGTTATATCTATCATCAAGGTCTTGTTGCCTCATAATCTTGTTTTTTTTTTTTATATACATGGTATATAGTGCTTTCTATCACAGAAGATTGCAAATGAAGAAACACAAAGAAGCAATAAAGATCAAGAATGGAAGGAAGGAGAAACAACAAAAATAAGAAAGAATAAAAAGGCAGATGATTGGAGAAGCACGATTTCTCACAAAAGTAAATACATATTGTGTCACTCTGATTGCTTAAGAAGGAATTTTGTTTACAAATGTGGCACAACAACTTTAGGTGTCAACCAGAAAATAAATTTGACATTTGATTCACCTCGACACACGAAGGAAATATCAAGCAAATAGATTTTTTTCTCCTCTTTTTTTGTTAATATACAGCGCAATCATGTATGTATGTGTACCTGTACCTACCGATATATATCAGCGTGCTAGAGTACGTGCGTACACGAAACAGTCTTCATTCATTTCACTCTCGGTCATCGTACCGGGATCATTCACGTTAGAAATTACGTAACTGCTACAAAGATAGCTAAAATATTCGGCGAAAACGCGCAACAAGAGAAATGCGCGTAAATAAAAAAGCGCAGGTAAAAATAGTGCGTCGAGGTGAGACACCGCACTCGCGATGGATTCTGGAATTTAACAAAATCACAAAGGGTGTCTCGTGCGTCGCGACACGACGAATCGCTCGCGCTATATCGTAATTCCGTCAAGTATCACAGAGACGTAATACCCGTCGTTGCACGTAGCCGCGTATCGTCCTAAATTTCAAGTTTATAACCTCGTCACAACACTATACTGCCATTCGCGACCAAATTTGTGACGTAAAGTTTCCCTATCGCGTAGGATGATGTTTCGAGTGAAAGGCTTTTCCTTCGCCGATCCGAAGTGACCGCTCGATTAACACGAGCATACCTGCCGAAACGACGCACCCCGCTTTTGATCTTCTTCAATTGTTTATTACGCGCACCATTTGGTTATCATAAACCATCTTGCGTAGCCATCTCCGAACCCCAACAATTTGATTGACCCCCTAGCAGGCCCTACGGAGAAAAAATATGGCAGCTCTACGTCATTAAATGTAGCCATGATAATCGACATGCAGATTGGCAATGCTATTTGATTTTCTAGCATGCGCCATTAGTGCCAGAGGTCGCTTTCCGCGCTTAAACTCGCGACAGGGGTGCAACACTCGATTTGTGATTGGTGCGGCCATTTTCTCTCCACGATCACAGCCCTAGTAACTTTTTCTGTTATCGTGAATACAGCTTTTTGCACTATATCCCGCGCCAAAATTAGAGAAGGCCAATCTATATTCCAATAATATCAATGCATGACAGATTTATCACTTTAGCTGTACTTTCTGTACTTTTTTCTTTTTCTCTCTTCCGTGCATTGAGTCTCGATTGTATATTGATTTCATTTCAAGTGCAGAAAGTGTAATACAGTGCAAGTAAAAAGAATAAACCTATTTTTTTATTTAGTTGCTCGAGATATGTAGTAAAATTAATCACTGCTAGCGTATTATTGCTTGAAAAACTTATTAATAAGTGAATATTAATCCAAGTGAATTCAAATATCTTTCTAATTAACAAATGTTAAAATCGGAAAATTACTTGGTTCGGCTGTCCTTGTCGGCTTTTCTCGTCATTTACAAAAGAGGTTAGCGTTCCTGTTGTAGCTAAACGAGGCTAATTTTTGTGCGATTTTTGAACCTATAAAAACTTATGAACGTGCATATAAAATCGATGATGAGGTGTATGAAATTTCAAAATAACAAGAAACTACCTTCGAATATTGAAGAAGGTAAGTTTAAACGTCACTTTTAAAGTGACACTTGAAGTTGTACAATTAATGTGACATTTAAATTCGACTATATCAAAGATGTATATGACGTTATCTTCTTTTTTTGTTGCTGAAGCTACTGTGATTTACATGCAGGTGCAGAGAATGTGACAAAGATAGCAAATAGCAGGGTAGATAAGAAGAATGAAAACTCTCCTAAAAGTTCTCGAGAATACATAGCTCCCAATAACCATAGTACACCAATTAGGCAGAAACCTAGCTCAGATAATGCAGAGGATTTATCCAATCTTGATTATTCCCCTAACCTGATATTACTTCCATGTACACAAGACGGAGGTAATGAGGTTGCGTGGGATTGGCAGAATACTCTGAACAAAACACCTAATAGCAGAAACAAGAAACAAATTGTTCAGTCTGAGACACCTAAGGGAACTAAGGCATTTCAGAGGAAGAGGAACTCAGATTCTCCTTTGTTATGCAAACCGCTCAAGAGAAAGTCCATCAAAATGGAAAGCATTGAACACATAGGGCAGTTTGCCGCTGAACTGCAGGCATTAAATGAAAAAGTAAGAATTATAGAAGAAAATGATTTAGAAGATAGCATCAAAGAAGAATCAAGCATAGTCTACAGGAGCAACAATGAAAAAGTCAAGTCAAGTGTCGTAGATAACAAGGAGAATTGTACTGTAGAAACCAACATTATTTGCAAAAGAAGCGCGAGTTACGATGATTTATTTGACGATTCAATAGATGATTCCATGGCTAGATGCACTCAGGAGATAGAGGAGAAGTTGAATCTGATTGTGGTCAAAGGAAGCTCCAATGTGCATTCACAGTCGAATATTAAAAAAGAAAAATTATCTCCCACAAATAATACAACTGTTCAAATTTCTGCTACGCAATCTAAGGAAAGCTCTGTAACAACATCGACCAAAAACTTGTTCTGTGGGAACACAGATGGTAATAGCACCTTAAGGATGAATACTGATAGGACCTCTCAGATAAATAGTGATGGTAGATTAAAGACATATTCGAAACTGTCATTGAAAGGAGACGCAAACTCTAGTGTACATGTTTCGACTTGGAAAGACAAAAATCTACATAAAGTGTGTCTCAACAACAATATGGTACAATGTGACAGTGAAAAATCGTCAAAGGACAGGGTCGCGGAACTGTTCGATTTTCCGGACGATTCTTTCGACGATTGCTTAGCGACTTGCATCGAGGACGATGAGTTACTGTCGACGTCGATTAAATCAAACGGTTTTCTAGTTCCTAAATTCGAATCCAACTATAAGAATTTGACTCATGCGCCTCTGAAAAAGAAACTTTTCTACAATAGCACGGCATCAAACGTGAAAGTTGAGACTTCCACCACTGGCTCCCTGGATAATAGGAAATTTTTCAAATCTAAAAGTCTGTCGGACCAATACATCGGTCAGAACTCGACCGCAAACTATAAAAGTACAGTACAAGTAACGCTCCCTTCATACTTGGCGAAAACCGCGTCGCGCTTAAACTCAACACCCAAGAACCCAGCGGTATCGCATAGCACGAGTACTTCCGTAAGTACGGATTCGGTTCCTACAAGTCAGTGTAAAATCGAAAATAATGCAATCTCGTTAATACCTAGCGTGGATCGAATGCTGGGACCCGATGTTAACAGATCCGCAATAAAAGAAAGTGGTAATCGTTTCGTCAAATACAATTCCACCGGTAACATGAGAAGCGATGCAAAAAAAACGGTAACAATCGACTCGCTGCCAGCTCGCTGTACTCCGGAGGAAATCGAAAAGAAAAGGTTGCAGGCTATGATGCGACTCAAGGCGAAAGGAAAATTGCGAAACGAAAATTGTGCTCTGAATATCAAAAATAATATCAACAGGTAAAAAATAAGTGTTTTCATCCGTTTTGTATTGATTACGGAAGAGCGAATATTTTTTGGCTCTAATGCCGCCACGTTGTTCCGTTAATGGGAATGAAATTGGATATATGACTGTTATTATTGTTATTATTGTCATTATTGTCATCGCTACTCTTTTATTGTTACATGGCGGGTATTAAAAAGAATCCATAAATATTTTTACAAATATATAGGTATGAAAAAGTGTGCATATGATGTGTGTATGTCGCGTGTGCGTGTAAAAGGAATCTATTTGTAGTGTATATTTTAATTATATATAGAGACGTATTAGGATCTCAGCAAATGCAACTGGGATTCGTAATCTTGGAGTTTTCTAAAAATTGTTCTTTCCTGTTTGAGGGATCATAGTGAGAAGAGAATTGACCAGAGCAATTCGCAATGAAAGGTTTATAACTCGAGCAAACGTACACAAAATACGCGAAAGTAGAACGAATGTGTGAGAGAGAGAAAGATAGAGAAATCACATATATGCGAAAAATTTATTCTAAATTGGCTTTTTCTTTATATTTTTTCCTTCTCTTTTCACTTCCTTCTGTCGTACGCGATGTACATTTTCGACTGTACAGGATTCTACTTGAACTGCGTTATTTCATCATAATATCTCGCTCCATTTATTCTACAAATTAGATATTTAGATATAATTATATGCGTTTTCTAACAAAGTTGCAATCACGTTTATGCAGTTGCACGCTTTTTCTTTCTTCTTTTATTTTCTCAATTCAGATTCAGGACGTATCCACCAGCTAAGACACGTAGGACATACGACATGGAACGTATTTTACATACAAGAGAAAAGAAAATTGTCGATTTACTCGACATAGTTGTGGAAATCGAGAGACGGGAGAGAAGAGGAGAGGACAATTTACTATAGCGCAACGATTTCCAGCGAGATCTCTGGAATAAAATGTCATGATATATAACGAATACTTTCATTCACGAGACTCTCTTCTCTCGTCTTTTCAATTATCCTTGAGGAACGGGGTGAGTCCGCGCACGCGTGCGACCGTCGTGGACTTCGATATGTCGGTCGCCCACAGCTGCTTGATCAATATATCGCGTGACGTCACATAAGAAGTCACCACCTGCCCGCTTCTGTTGTTTTACGCGGCGCCGACTGACGCTAAAATCCGAATCGCTCTCTTCGCACTCGCCTCTCACCTCGGCTGCAATTACACTGCGATTCTAACTTCTCTCACGGTCTCTCGCTCTCGCAGCACCCCGTGGTCGACTTGCGCGCGATTAGGATAATGCCCGAAGCGACAATTCTGTCGTTACACGAACATCCCTCCGTGTCCTCGTTCTCACGGGGTAACCCGGACTGTCGTTCGCGACTCCACATTAATCGTTAATTTTGCCGTTCTGTTCTTTCCCACCCCTCTTAACCGCGGGGCTGCCCACAGGAAGAAGGACAGCGCGATGATACGCGTTCAAGACATCAGACGTTAATTCCTAATTTCTTCCCTTCTATCTTCCCGCGCGACATACGCGGTGGTCCTGGGCCTACATCTAGGAAATCGCGCATCTCGCGTGCTCTTTTCGCTCGGGTATATACACAGGTGTGTTTTTTTTCTTTTCTTTTACATTTATTCCCGTCCCCGCGTCAGACGGGGCGTGAAATTGACGGGCGGCGTTTACCGTGTGTCACCGGCAGCAACGCGGTCGCTGCCGAGGGAGAGTGTGAAAGAGGATCTCCTCAGGGATCCTTCGCTATCCGTGCCGTCTACGAGTCGACTGCCACCGCCATCGTCATCGCCGCCACCGTCGCCGCCGACGCCACCGCCGTCGTCGCTGCTGTTGAAGCCGTCATCGTCACCACCGCCGCCACCGCCGCCACTGCTACCGCCTCCACCACAAATAATCATAGTACCGTCGCGTACCTCGAGTAGTCGCCGAGTACCTCGGAGTGTCCAGTGTCCGCGAATCCGCGAATGCGAAGTACGGTCCGGACGCGCTTCGTTGCCGGCCGCCTCTCGTCACGATGCTACTCGCGGTGATCGCACTCCTCTCCCTCGGCGCCGGTACGACCACCGCCGAGATCTTCACCAACACCTTCCTGGTGAAGATGCGGCAGCCAGCGGAGAGGCACGTAGCCGACCGCGTAGCGCTCAGAAACGGATTCGTCAATCTCGGACCGGTGAGTGTCTTGACGCGGAGGTTTTCTCTGTTAGAAGCCCTTGGAGAATCCACTGGAAAGTCAGCCGATTTCAACCCCCGCGGACTAACGCAAGCAGCGTCGCTCGAATGATTCCCTTTTGTCGCATGACGACGATATTAAGCGCACAAGTCGCATCTTTCTCCATTCGATTTTCCCTTTTCCGCATTTTTTCTTTCTATCTTATTGCACTTCGAATATAAGGAGCACAACTTGCACACCTCTGCTTCGTTATTCTCGATGAATAAGTAGCGAAGAGACGTCGTGTCAAGAATCTAGGTGAACGATTATGCGACAAACGTGTAATACTCGGGCCACGACAATCAGCATCATTGTCAATGTGTCTTTGTCGCGTATGGTGTTCGGCATCACGTTTAATGTCGCAATTGATTACACGCAAAACGTTTCCGCCTTGCTCAAATTTCCGCTCTGTGTCACTCACGGGACTCGTTTGTGATCGCGCACTTGCAGTCTGCATATTAAAATTCGAGACAGAACGCAACTGACTCAGGTTCGCGAAACCGAGTTCTTCACGATAAATAAAAGAAGTAGAAAAATAAAATTTTGCAAGTAGTTATAATGGAATGTTGTTTTAAATAGCGCTACAGGCGATGAAGCTAATCAACAATACAGATATCTTTTATGCGCATATCTGAGCGCATTCAAATTTACGACATTAAGTTCTTAGATAAATAAAATGAAGAATAGCAGAAGTGAAATATAACAAATAAAATGAATCGCCATTGTTAAATAGCGCTATAGACAGTAAAGCTAATCAGTGTTATAGTTGTATGTAATTCTGAGCAGGTTCAGGTTCGCGAAATTGAGTTCTTTGCGATGAGTAAAAAAAAAAGTAGCAAAAATCAAATTTAGCAAATAGTTATAGAATGGAACACCATTGTTTTAACTAAGTAAAATGAAAAATAGCACAAATGAAATATAGCAAATAATTGCTGAAATAAATCGTCGTTGTTAAATAGCGCTACAGACGCTACAGTGAAGCTAATCAATGCTGTATGATTCTGAACAGGTTCAGGCTCGAGAAATTGAGTTATTTGATAGATAAAGTGAAAAGTAGCCAAAATAAAATTTAGCAAATAGTTACAGAATGGAACACCATTGTTTTAACTAAGTAAAATGAAAAATAGCAGAAATGAAATATAGCAAATAATTGCTGAAATAAATCGCCGTTGTTAAATAACACTACAGTGAAGCTAATCAATGCTGTATGATTCTAAACAGGTTCAGGCTCGAGAAATTGAGTTATTTGATAGATAAAGTGAAAAGTAGCAAAAATAAAATTTAGCAAATATTTATAGAATTAAACGCCGTTGTTAAATAACGTTACAGGCTGGTGAAACTAATCAACGATATGGTTGTTTTCTGGATGATATGTCGCGCGATTACCGTACATTTCCACTTGCCTTGTCAACGATACCATAAAAAAGAGACTTCTTTACATGTCGCAGGTAAAAGGTTAAATATTATCTGCGTCCATTCTACCTACGCGTGATGCTGCACGCGCGCTGGCGACACGCCACGCGTCTGATTCAGCGCCACGTCCCATCCGTGGTTTGATGTACTCTGACGGATGTGTGTACGCGGACACACACCTTGCCGGCAACTAGCGCGTTGATAAAAAGTGCACACAGTGTATTATTAGACACCCACGATAAAGGGGATTGTTAAAATACGGCCGCTAATATCGGCCCACGCACCTTCCATCCCTTGATGCCGTTCGCTTGTTACGTCGGCAATTTGCATGATCCAGAAGCGCTTCATGGAAGAGTAAACATCCGACGCATCGATTGATGACATTTTACGTTTGTTGCATCGTAACTTTTCCACTTGGCAAAAATTCGATCTTGTCGGTAGCAAAATTTCGCCCACGGAGAGAGAGATCCGCGTTTTGGCTGATTTCTTCTCCCTTTTCTGTGTGTTTGCTGGAATACTGCGCCTCCTTCATCAACGGATCGCTCTGTACACCAGACGACGCTTCTAATGCAACTTTTCTCCGATGTGGAGAAAATTGGCATCCCATAAACCGTATTTATCGGCGCGGTGACGTCGTTTCTTCCGATTAAAGCTGTTTCCTGGCTGTCCCGTACGATTAACCGCCGCGGGATATGGAGGTTGAATTATCGGGGCGATCGATCGTTTCAACCGCGATGCGATTAATTCAGCCATGCTTGGCAGTGACTGATTTTATCGCGGATAAGCGTCGGCTTGGCAGCTGATACGATCAGTCGAGGAATCTTCGTTCGTCATTTGACGAATTTATCGGATCGGTCATTTCGCTTCAGCTTCGCGGTCTGTCACGTCGTGGCCGGTCACGTTAATCGCTCACATACGCACGCAAAACTAAACTTTCGATAGGCGAAATTGAACAATATCGCACGACCCTCTTCCTCTTCTCTCTTCTGCGTCTCTTTGTGCTCAACTTTAGATAAAATACCTTTCTCTCCCTCGATCCAACAGATTTTACACGCTGCCGCGTTGCTAAAAACAGATGCAGAAAAAAACTAACGAAAAAAGGTCTTGACTTAATAGGTTTAAAACAAGTTAAGCGAAGTAAAATTATTCTAGAAATAAATAAAAAGCCAAAACAACGAGAGTTCCTCTCGTATAAAATTTTAGCATGGTATAACTTTACGTGTTTAGATTATCGAGGTAAAAATACTAATGTCTAGACATGTACCTAATTCTGGATATTCTTATTATTTTGTACTTTAAATACTTAAATTTTCAGCATAAAACGCATTCAATACATACATTGATAAAATATCAATAGAATATATTTTATGTTGAAAATTTAAATATTCGGATTTAAGGATCCATAACAATGATCCAGTAAATACCAGCGTTAACGATAACATTACATCAATGTTATAATTTCTCATTAATAATGTAAATGTACAACATGTGTTATATATTACACTTACATCGCTGAGTGAGAAATTATAATATGATGTGATGTCTATTACTTGACTGGAAAGAATATCAAAAATTAAGTACATATTTCTAGATATTGATACTGTTATCATATGTCGGAAGACATAAACTAAAAGAAGAAATAAAATGAATTGCACATCTTAAGCCAAATGTGTTTCCGTTGATTAAAGGTTCTGGGCAGCCAGACGGAATATCACTTCGTACACAGAGCTTTGCCGCACGTGCGAAGCAAAAGATCCGTGCCGCATATGCGAAGATTAAAGGTCGATCCTTTGGTAAGTTTGACGCACCCTTTTTTTACAGAGTCGCGAAATTACCGTGATAATTACTCGAGCTCTCTCAACGACCGTTAATCGGAGAAGAAGGAGACGCGCAAGGATTAAGAACAAGGGGGGTTTTAATCTTTGATACACATTGGCGTGGATTAGGTGGATACGGCCATACAGCAGGCTGGCTTCAAGAGGGTCAAGAGAGGCTACAAGCCCCTGAGCGTAGACAACCTCGTACCCTTGTATGAAATAAAAAATCCGGGTAATCCCGGGAACAAAGACCCGACGGATCCCTTCTTCAAGTATCAGTGGTATCTGAAGAATATCGGACAAAATGGTGGCAAACCGAAGCTGGACCTGAATGTCGAGGCCGCCTGGGCTCAGGGTGTCACGGGGAAGAACGTAACGACGGCTATCATGGATGACGGTATGTATACATGTGTGGAAAATCGTTTCCCTCTTGTGTGTTTTTTTCTCTTTATCTCTCTCTTCATCTGTCTCTGTCATTTTTTCGATAAACGAGACCTCGATTATTTTGAGACCTGGGATTATTTTGAAGTCAAAACGGTCTCGATTACACGCGCTCGAATGCAGTTTGCACAGGCGACTTTGAATCGATATCTCGCCGAGGGGCGAGTTACGCAACGTTCTCTCGTTTCAACCGAGAAACGACAGAGAAGGAGAGAGGGAGAGAGTGAGAGACATATATTTTCATAGAGTCGCATAACCACGGTCGCGTCGTTGTACGAGATCGTTTAACTAAACGACCGCCTTTTTAACGTCGAGCCACTTTTCGTTAACGACAAAACAGAATCGTTACTACCCTTCGCGGCTCGTTACCCTTTCTTCCACTTGAGTGACCGGAAACGACGGAACCTCCGCGTTTCTGCTGCACGTTGCCAATGCACGTGGCAACATATAACGCCAAGATGTCCTCCTATTGATAAACGCTGACGGACAACACAAACTTCCAAGGATGACTTTTGCTAAACTAAATTAAGCTAACAAATGAACGACTAATAGAATTACCAACGTTAATTTTTTGCTAATAAAAGAAAAGTTTTTTGCTAATAAAATAAAACACAGCAGAAATGAAATATAGCAAATAGTTATATATAGAACGAAACACTGCTTTTTTTTTTAATAGTAAAGGCAGGGTGAAGCTAATCAGCGATAGATGTTTTCTTATAACTTATCCTTCAACACAATAACTCATAAAAATTTATAATTTCTATCTTACTCTTTCTTCTTATACTTTATAAAAATAGAGAGCAAGTGATACTTGACTAAGAGAGCAGCTTTTGAAAGTTTACAGTGAGTTGTAAAACGGTTTAAATACGATGAAGTTGACAGCTCATTAAATTGTCGAAATTGGGAATCATTATCGATGGACTTACGCAATAATAATATAATTAAGAACACTAAATAATAATAAATAATACTACTACTAGTAATATACTTAATAAATAATAAGCCCCTGCACTACATGGTGTCTAAACCGTTTTGCAACTCACTATATAGAATGTTGCAATTACATAGGACGTCCCGTCGTACTGATCTGCACGTAAATGCAACACTCTGTACAGATGGCTCCATTCTGTAACACGCGTTTTGATCGTCACATTTGCGTTTTGTCCCGTTGCAGGTGTCGACTACATGCATCCTGATCTGAAGTACAACTATGTAAGCATACTCACGTCACCGTCACATTAACAAGACGCGTTTCTAGAGCTAAGGAAGCTACCATCGCCGCGGGTGACGTTATCCCCGTCACGTAACAAATCTGCCAATGATAACTTCATATTAATAGCATTACGAGCGTGACCGAGGAATCGAAATATTTTTATTCGTGCTCTCGCGCGGATGTCATTCCTGGCGTTTCTTGCGTCGTGTAGACACGTGAGGAATTTCGAAGCGGAGGATAATGCGCCTAGCTTAAACGCAGACTACGGGCTCGGCAAATAATTGCTCGTGGTATTCGAGGGGTAGAGTAAGAAAATATTTGTCCGATTTTCTGCGATGGTCCGCGGTTACACCGCACAACGACGGCTTCACGCAAACGCGAACCGCACTGTCGATACGCATTAGTTTTGCGTCGGCGTGCCGGCCATTTTGCGAAATCTAGCATCCCCTTGAAGAACGTTATATGTTGCTTCTATTAGAGCATCGTTGAGAACAAAGAGATAAGTTTCTGTTTTGTTCTCCGATCGAATCCATTGTCGATAAGACTCGGACCGTGTTGACGAGCTTATGATTTTGTGCCAATTTGATTTCGCGAATCGTAAATACACAACTTCTCGAGTACGAATTAGCAATTACAGACAATACAGGTCGATATCCTCTCGTTTCAGAACGCGAAAGCTTCCTACGACTTCAGCAGTAACGATCCTTATCCCTATCCTAGATACACGGACGACTGGTTCAACAGGTAAAAGATTATTTTTCTAAAAACGTCAAGCAACTTAATGAAATAAGAGGACCAATATTTATTACATTTTATATATAAAGTAAAAGTAATAATACCCGGACACATACTTAATTCTGAACGTCTCAGTAAACTAAATAAAATTTTATATAGGTATATAATGTTGTAGTAATTTTCTCTATCGGAAAACAGCGCATTAATGCTACTAAAACGTCAGCTAAGGTAATTATATTTTAATAAATATTGACATGATTTGAACTTTATCACACAAGACAACCTTGAATTAATCAAGAAAATCTTGTATTAATATTCGGATTTAAGATTTATTGAAATAAAAGTGTTCGGATATTAATACTTTTATCTTACATAACAGTTTGTGGTACTAAACACACTTTTTCACATTATGCACGCTTAAATCTTCTGTTTTCTCGATCGCACCTCGATCGCGAAAACATTAGTGGCCCGCATGACTGAAATCAACATAAAGACAATATGACGGTTAAAATAAAATCCTTCGTATTCCCATCAAAGCCACGGTACAAGATGTGCCGGCGAGGTCGCAGCCGCGCGTGACAACGGGGTGTGCGGTGTCGGAGTAGCATATGACTCGACAATCGCCGGAATCAGGATGCTGGATCAACCTTACATGACCGACCTGATCGAGGCCAACAGCATGGGCCACGAGCCTGATCTCATAGATATTTACAGCGCCTCCTGGGGACCGACGGATGACGGGAAAACGGTGGACGGACCGCGGAACGCAACCATGAGGGCTATTGTTCGCGGCGTTAATGAGGTATACGCGGCATTAATGAGGTATATACACTCGTACATACCGACGCACGTGCGGTAACAATTAGCTGAATTAATGCATCCATTAGCGATCTTTACGGTGAAATTGTTAATTAAATGTTAATTAAGCGGCACAGAGGATGCCGCTTGTTTCCGGGCAAAATTGAATTTTATGTCGAAGAAGGTTAGGGGGTTTATTTTCTCTCTTTTCTCTCTCGAAAGGATATCGTGAAACTCTCTTGTACGTGGAAGAAAAATGTATCGAAGCTAATAGTCGAACCCGTAATTGATCATCCGCGTCGCTTGTTTGCTCACCAGGGTAGAAAGGGCTTAGGTAACATTTACGTCTGGGCTTCCGGAGACGGCGGGGAGGAGGACGATTGCAACTGCGACGGCTACGCTGCGAGCATGTGGACCATTAGTATTAATAGCGCCATTAACGACGGACAGAACGCTCACTACGACGAGAGTTGTTCCAGCACCTTGGCTTCTACCTTCAGCAACGGTGCTAAGGATCCTAACACGGGGGTGGTGAGTGACTCTTTCGAATTGGATAGGATTTAGTTTGAAGAGGAAGTTGATTTTTTTGCGGAACACGAAACAAAATAGCAACGAAATATAAATGGAATATTACTTACGTATGATTCAAGCATGTGTGTGTGCGCGGTTTTGCAGGCCACCACGGATCTGTATGGAAAATGCACGACGACTCACAGCGGGACGTCCGCCGCGGCGCCGGAAGCCGCTGGAGTATTTGCGCTTGCACTCGAAGCTAAGTGAGTATACACAAGTCCGACAAATTTACTTACTCTCTCTCCTTCTTTAACTTTGAAACATTGACATATAATACTATCGTCACGTTAGCGTTGACTCAGAATGCATCCAACATCACAGTTCGTATCGCTTTGAAAAGAATTTTAAATTAAACTCAGCTTTCAATCGAACCCATGTTCGATTTCACATTTCAGTCCGCAGTTAACGTGGAGAGACATCCAACACTTGACCGTCCTAACTTCGAAGAGGAATTCTCTGTTCGACGCTAAGAACAGATTTCATTGGACCATGAATGGCGTCGGGCTCGAATTCAATCATCTCTTCGGATATGGCGTCTTGGACGCAGGTGCCATGGTAGCGTTGGCTAAGAAATGGAAAACGGTACCGCCGAGATACCACTGCGAAGCCGGCTCTATGCTCGACACGCAGTGAGTAACTTCAGGTTGACTTTAGATTAATGAGTTGTTAGCTTTAATTTCAAAATAACACGTAGTTGTGCGATGCGTACGTAACGCAGATATTGTCCTAAGAAACACTCATCGCGCACGCCGACAATCCGTTTCCTCCTCAGGTTAATTTTGCATTCCAGGGAAGTCACGAGCGATCGATCCATTCTCGTGACGATTAAGACAGATGCGTGCGCCGGTACGGAATACGCCGTCAACTATTTAGAACACGTACAAGCCGTTATAACCGTAAATGCGACTCGGCGCGGTGATCTTGAGTTATTCCTTACATCTCCGATGGGCACGAGGTATGATAAACCGTCTCTGAGCTTTTTTCTTCATCTAACAATAAAGTCTTCTTTTCTCTTCCTTTTAACAATTTCTTTTCTACTTTTTTTTTTTATTTAATCTTTAATTTCCGCGCAACAGGAGAGAAGGCAACTTTGCACGAATATTCTATTTTATATTTTACTTATTCTGTATCTTTTCTTTTAACAAGAGTCTAGTTTTTGAAAACTGTGACTTATAAATCTGTGATTTTCAGATCTATGATCTTAAGTCGCAGAATAAACGATGACGATCATAGGGATGGTTTTACGAAGTGGCCGTTTATGACGACGCACACATGGGGCGAATATCCTCAGGGAACCTGGTTGTTAGAGGTAAACTCTGACATTTTACCCAATAACACGAAAAAAATATCGTGACACTTCTTCTTCTAATGCAACTTCTTCTTTTAATGCGCGTCTCGCGGCGCATTCGTATCCGGTAGGAGAAAATTTGTTTTTAAATAGTTCTCGAGAGATAAAGTTTCTTAATAGACTAAAATAAAAGTTTGAATTTCGCATCGAGACCTACGGTGGTTCTTAATGGCTGTTTAATACTTTGACTGATACATTTTCTCATTGGACATCGGACTCGTTTTAAAGCTTATCGAGGTCAAAGTATCGCATTCTTTCTTCCATTGACTGTACAGATCAAGCTATACACATTTCGAAATCTTTCAGGTAAGTTTCAACACTCAGACGCCACAACACGGATGGCTGAAGGAATGGACATTAATGCTGCACGGTACCAAAGAACCGCCGTACACGGGACTGTCAGCTGCGGACCCTCACTCGAAATTAGCGATCGTGAAAAAGGCCCACGAGGAGCGACTGAGCGCGATCTAGATGATATTGACGATTTCACGCGATATTCGCCGATACAGGCGAGGAAAATGGAAAATGGATCTTGGATCGAAAGATGTTTACGCGACCGCTCCTTTCTCGATTTGCCGATTTTGTTGATCAAACGTAGGTGAAGTGTAGCCCTCGATTTAAGATCCGATTGTATTGCCATCACCCGTGCCAATTATCGCCGGCACTCATCTATTATTTCAGCATTAATTAAGACTCACTCGTATGGAATCGTCCGAACAGAAGCAGACTTTTAGATACTTTTCATTGCACTCACGTTTGCCGAGTCACATTGTCTAGTCCTAATTACGACACGTCATGTATCTCTATGTAATTATACATCATATCGAGAGAAGTATCAATTTACAAAAATCATACCCGCGTTGACACCTTTCCGAAGAGTTCTCGAGTTGACGAGCGGAATTTTATGATTGGGAGTAGAAGCGAAGAGAGAACTATGGAAGAAAGTTTATTATATATTACTTAATAGCAGATTATTAAAAATTACTCTTTTGCCGGAGCGGTAAACTTCAAATCATACTGTCAGACACGCGTCAGCGCTAATGACACGTGATAATATCGTGGAGTCGATACGAGGTGCAGGACGCCTGCGAAAGAGTATCCCGGGAACAAGAGTTATGTGTAATCATCGTCGTCCTCGTAACTCCCTCAGCCGTTTTTTAATATTTAACTTCCTTACATCGTTCACGTCCCGCTTGATACTGCGCATTACAACTTAATGCCCCCAAATCTGTATTCTCATTAAATCCGTCGAATACGGTGTGACGTAGTGACTCGTTGCCCCTTTTTTTACCAAGCTCTTTTATCACGGAACGAAAAAATGGTGAGATGTTTCTTCGGTTTTGCGTCTCGATTTAATCGCAGATTAAATCGTCGATTTTCTTTGTACCGTTATACTTCTTCTTTTCTTCCTCAAAGAGACATGCGTCTGTTTGTCTCTCCTCTTTTCTCACAGGCCTCAGAAATATCATAGATCGATCGAAATGTCTTGCTGAGAGTATTTACTTGCTTATTGATATTCCAGAGTATATCGTGGATGTTTACGTTATAAAAAGAATGTATTTTCCTCATCGTTTCGGGCGTAAGCAACAGAAACGCGAGGACGTCTATGAAGAACACGAGAACGTAAAAAAAAATACGGATGCTACAAAATCCGCATGTGTAGATGACGTACCTTAGAATTGTAGCGAGCAGAGAATTTGAACATTACATTAAATTATATAAATATAAATGCATGTATAAATAAGATATGTGCATATGTATATATATATGTATATTATATATATATATATATATATATATATATATATATATATATATACATATGATATACGCATATCTTGCAGTTGAAGTGGAATTAACCAATCTTATTCTGTACACGATACAAGTGGATGAATAAAATCTGTATTTTTTGGCTGGCATCGTTTTTATATGCTGTGCCTTCGATATGTTTATTAGCTACTCCACCTACCCTTTTCCGATCTTATAAACATGCGTATATCACATCTCCACTTTACTTCTTTAAGATTTCTCACGAGGTGAAAGTCGCGAGATATTTATTTCACATTAAAAATGGTAGTATCAAGGAGAATTACAAAAAAACCAACAACACTATGCAACACTTGTTGCGATCAATTCGCGATATCAATCTATATTGCTGGTGTTTCATTCGCGTTAGTTTCGCGAACGAAATATAGAATGCATTTGACAATAGACAATAGACAAGCTCGATATAATCGTTTAATTAAGTTTTACTTAAGAGAAAGGCTTTGTTACAATAGACCTAGTTGGGTCGTAGCGACAATAGACGTCAAGCAGCGTTTAGCCTTCCAAGTAGCTGAAATTGAATCGAACTTTTATTTAAATGCCGCGCGTTTATATACACACTCAGCGGGAGCTGACGGTAAACGCGCGTGATTAAATGTCAGACAGAAAGAGATGTACGCAGTAGAGGAGAGAAGGAGAAGGAATCGCAAAGCGGCAAGGAGAAGGTGGAGGCAGGGGAAGGTGGAGGCAGGAGAAGGTGGAGAACGTGGAGAAGGAGGAGGCAGAAACGGGGTAGTTAGTGGAATCGGAGGGGTGCAGGGATGGAACGGAAGCGGAAAGGGTTGAGGCGCGTGGGATCGCGGAAGAGAGCCGCGCTCAGTCCGACAGTTCGGTTCGAGAGTCCGCGTGTTATAGCCAGCTTGAGAGAAACGGAGCTGCGTTCCCGTCTATTAATTAATTGCTGTAACTGTGCGTGAAAGAGAAAGAAACGTGCGAAAAAGAAAAACGAAGGAACGTGCTTGAACGTCGAGCACGTTATGTGCGTATCCAGTTCTTTCGAATTTAAGCGAGGCTCGATCCGAAGCAACGTTTAAAGAGACGCGGCGGGTGTGTGCGAAATTACGAATTCTTTCCTTGTCCTCGTTGAAAGTTCACGTAAGCGCAATTTACATGATAGATACTCACTGTACAAAGCTCTATGCTAAATTAAAAAAGGGACCGTATTCGTGACAGAATTGAGAAGAACAAAACTATGCGCGCGCGTATATGCACTCAGGGTTTTAAAGTGATTTCTATCAATAGAAACAATTATACATTTTTTACTTCAATATATTTCTTTGTTCGAAAAGGAATTTTTTAATCTCTCTTTCAAAAGAATTAAAAAATTACGCGGTAACTTTACTTAGCACAGAGAAATGTCGAAATCAACCCTCATAGCACAAGATCTTGAAGGGATATCTTGGGGATTTGTGTGTGTTTATTTAGAAGTCCTCGGAATATTTTTAAGATATTCTGAGGACTTATGCGGACATTCAGCAATCCTTTGGATGTCTTTGAGACATCTTTTAAATCTTGTGCTATGTAGGAAAGCTAGCGATTTGTTCTCCGACTCATTTATACGCGATTCGCTCTTTTTATATATTATTTCTTTTATCAAATCTTTCGCACCAGGTGAGATTTTCTGCTCAATTAGAGCAGAAACTAGTCGAGTTGTCCCGTGGAATATTTGTAGCTTCACTATTTTAGAAGAAAACAATGACTGCTTTAAGAGCGACATCATTTTCGGACTTCGGACACAATTTGATCGTTCTGCGTACGATTTCCAGCCAAGAAACGAGCCACTCGCAGCTAAGCCGACAATGTTCGCTCGGTGAGGGCTGGAATCGCGCACCCTCGCCACTTTATCCGGCAATCCCCGTGCTGTGTCGCGTCGTGCCGTGCGGGGGATAAACGAGAGGGAGACCAGAAGCAAAGGGAGGGCGCAGAAACGATCGTCGGACAGTCGAGCTCGACGCAGGAACGGGATTTAGGGATAGGACGTACGGCGGGACACGGCAAATGTGGCTTTGTGCACGGTGAGCCGAACTTACGGGGGTCGTGTGGCCCACGGGGGTGGCAGGGCCCGTAGTGGCGGTGTTGGTGTTGGTGGTGGTGGAAGTAGGTTACGCGCGGGTGAAGCGAGCGCGCGGCTGCCCTTGAGCCCCCGCACTTTATGCGGGACGACCGGCTCTCGTGGGGTGCACGGTGCGACCGGTGCGACCGTGGCTACCGGCGGTACCAGCACCTTGGGCGGCACGGAAGAGGCTGGTATCGGGCTGGTGTCGGACGAGCCGATGGTGCATGTGGAGAGATCGGCGGCGCACCCGAGTACATGGATATGCTGTATGCCCTGCCACTGGCTGAGACGCAGCAAAGCCGTGCACAAGGCGCTGCTCACCTTCGCCATGCTGCTAGTCACCAGTTTATTAGTCACCAGTCCGGTGCTCTTCCTCATCACAACCCTACCGGAAGGCGAACAGCCGCGGAACTGCGCGCCGTTGGTACGTTTTTTGTCCTTGATCCCTTTACCAGGTGACTTTTACCAGGAGCCTCTGATCAAGCTGATCGACGGCTGCCTTAGATTGGCAGAATGGTCAATATGGAGAAAAATTATTTGTTGTTAAAATAAGAAAGAAAATTTTCTTGCTTTCTTCCTTTATAATTCACATGGATTTTCCGCTCTGTTCTCCTGACATACACAGAGAATTATTAATTTTTTTAGTTAGTATAGGACGAAAAAAAATTGGATTTTATGGTAATTCTCAATTCTAATTCTCGATTAGTTTAATCGAAACCTAGTGAAGGTCGCCTTTAGATTCCTTCTCGTAGATGCGTGATCTATTTGCATAATTACTTACATGGGTTCCCTCCGATTATTTATTTATCAAAATGTGCGTGATTTTAATAATGTACAAGATCTTATTTGAAATTCGCACGACTCTGTCAGTTGACCGGAGTCGCGAGTAATTTATATCGATCGTGGCTTAGTTCGAGGTAAAAGAAAGATAGGAAATCAGAGTATTTAGTAATAACATTCCACTAAAACTTTGCGCGGGAATAACCATGACGTGGAAGAGGATGCTCAGACAGAAGAAAAAAATCACGAGAAAATGACTAAAAAATTTACTTTTCAATCACGATTCGATTATTTTCTCGTCATCTTAACATCATCATGATTTTTTTATCCTACTTGGGTGATTGCCAAGTCGCGCGATTTGAAAATAAGGAAGCTCAATCCTCAAAAGAAGCGGGATGTGATTGTAAGTTAATCTATGAACGTAGATAAATCATACGCGATTATAACAAAGGAAGCAGGCCCACGACTTCTCGCCTCGAATTCGTACACGAGTACGTAATCGCTGTGGAACGGCGGACGGCAACCGCCGTGTTCGCGATAATTCGCAATTATTCGCGATAGATGCCATAATGTGTGTCGGCACACACAGCGAAGCCGTATCGGGAGGTAAGGTTTCGAGGCGAATGAAAAGCTCATCCTCGGCTGAGGTCAGGGCTTTACCTGTTATCCTGACCTTTAGACCTAAATTCGACTGTATCTCACGTTTGTATTCAAATGCGGTTATTCATAGATCGTTGTTTGTCATTGAATACACGAGAGAGGTTGCAGCGATGAACGAGTATATCTATGGAGTTGACGTAATGGGCGGCAAAAGCTGTTGGTGGAAATGTCATGTTTCGAGAGAAGTTACCATCTCGCGACCGTGAAGCAATTTTCATCTTTTTTATTCAGTGAAATTACCGATAATCCGACAAACTTTCGCGAATCTTCAATGAAAAATGACATATCGTACTTCCTCCAATAAGGCGGTTTGTTGCAATTTCAGGATGAGGCCTGTATTAGAGAGCGAGATGGACCCGAAGGTATCTGCGACTCGGAAGTTTGCGTGGAAGCGTCGAAAAGGATCCTAGCGTCCATGAAACGGGGCGTTGATCCTTGCAAGGATTTTTATAAATTCGCTTGCGGTGGCTTTCGCGATCAACAACCCTATCAGCCAAGCGCGAGTTTCAATATACTCCAGGTGCAAATTGACGAACGCATACACAGTGAGTGGACCTTTGTATGATTTTCTCTCTGCCGTTACATTTCATTTCGTTCTTACTTTTTGCTCTTGACTGGTGCAATTTTTCATCTGTAAATTATTCGCTGAATCATAATTTACAATTGAATTCACGGCCGTCCTCTTTCTGTCGCGTGATTATCGCGACGACACGGTCTCAATCCGTCCGTAAGGAGAAACGAAAGAAAGTCGGGCGGGGTAGTTGTGTATCGGGGGTGAGAAACGAGTATAAATAAGAAGTGCCTTACGGCGATATATCAATCTTCAACGATGAAGGTTGAAAGAGCATGAGAACTCGGACAGAAAACACGACCTCCTTTCGGTAAGAATCTATCGTGAACAGGACGTGGTGGAGGTGGGAGTGGAGGTGGTGGTTCTTGGTGGTGGTGTCGCCAGCGTGACTGGCGCCGGGCGACTGGCACCAACTACATGCTGGCACTATATCGTTGGGATAATATAATTCGGTTTGGGGATCGAAACTTAAAGGGGAGCTAGATAAATACCGGAAGTGTGGGCACCGTTTGAGTGGGAGCAAAAAGCTTGGTCACGATCCAAGGCTAATCGATGCGATGGAGACGTGCGCATCGCCACTAAAACGTTACCCGTAACATTCGGATGTGGTATTCACTTGCGCGCCTTTACAAGGAGTGGAACTGGCGTGGAATTTCGACTGAGATGAAAAGTTATCAAAGTTTAAATGAGAGGAGAGAAATCGGACTCGGCCGACGTTGCCGTACTATAAATAATGCACGTAATCGATACACGTGTACACGTACGTTTGTCACGCGGGCTGCCTATTAGAATGCCCCCGTAGGCTCTTCGCGGTTTTACGCAACCTTCGAAATACCAGTCGCGTGATTCAAGGTCGACAGCAAATTGCCCCCTGATTGTTAATCAGACCGTTTAAAAATCTTTGCCTCACTGTTTGCTTTCCCGTTTTTCCTCAATTCTCAGGAGTAAATTTCTCAGGAGTAAATTTCTCGCCTTGGAGAAAATCTGACCGTGAATTACGACCGTTCTAGAAACGCTGGCGAACGAGACGGGCCAGATGAACGGTATCTTTGAGAAGCTCGGACAATTTTACAACGTTTGCCGAGGCTTCAAGAAGAAACCCACAAACTTTACACCCGGTGAGTGAAATCTGCGAGGAATTCCATTTTCTGTAGTGAGAAATCACTTGGACACGAGCGAATCGGGGTTTCTTTGCCAGTGAAATTTCATTCGAAGGAATTCGAAGACTTCAAGACATGCTGACATTCTCTGTTTCAGTTTACGAGCTCTTGGAAGAACTCGGTGGCTATCTATCGCCTAACAGCGCTGCACCAAACGACATCACCCCTCTGATCTCGACGCTGCTGAAGGTGAACGGCGCTCCCCTTTTCGATTTATATGTCGATGTAGATCTTTACGACCGCACAAAGTCATCCGTATACCTTGATTTCCCTATCAAGCATCAAACTAACGAATTTCTTACGGAAAGTCAGGTAATAAATTATTCAAGAAGGCTTTTCACTCTCGTGTCTGCACGTATACTCCGTGCACACTCTACGTTAAGTGACCGTTATTATCCTCTTATTAGAAAAACCGAGACGTAGAAAGATTGCGTAAAATACGGGAGATTGTTCAAGGATTCCTGCCAAAAAATATGAGTCCCAAGGAACAGTCGTCGGAGACCGATTTGCTTCTGCAGTTTTGCTCATCGCTCGAAAAGGTGAGGACGAAACTCGCGAGCGACTCGAATAACCGACAATAATGAAAAAAATTCCAGATTTATCCGAAGCACAAAGACTTATACAATTGGGTGGACGTTGATCAGAGAGTGTACGTTGCTTACAATGTGACGTACCTTCAAGAGAGCTTTGGTTACGTAAGTACATATACGGTACCAATTCACCATTGCGTCGCTCAAACTACGAATGCTAAAACGCGTAAAACTCGGAATAGTTGAGAGTTTCTGCTTGGCTCTTGAAAAGAAAGGAAAAAAGAAATGACTTAATTTCGATGATCTTGAGACAGATAAGATGGAGGTCGTTGCTGAATACAACGTTACACTACCGTTCGAACGGTATCGATCTGCACGGCGATAGTAACGACACGAATCGCGTACACCGACCGCCGTCATATACCGCGTCTGAGGATCAGCAGATTTACGTTTACGTCACCGCTCCACGTTACTTCCGTAGCCTTGGCAAGTTATTGAACCGCTCGTCCAGACGGTACGATTCCTCATTGTTGTACTTCTAATTAACAAATTTAGGGTTAACGTGCGGCGTGTCCACTTAACGTCGCAACACGTCTGTGTGTCGAACTGAGATTGCAATACGACTTCTATTCGAATTTTCGCAACGTAAAAAAATTTCCGTATGCAAAAGTAACATCAGCAATTTCTTTTCTTTCAATAATTGTCGCGACGAGATAAATTCTTCTGTCGGAAGTCTAATGCATTCATCGAGATGAAAGCGCGTTGCAGCCTCTTTTCTACATCAGAATCATTCTCCAATTTCTATTGAAGAAATTCACTCGACGATTCAGTGTGGGAGAATTCACTCTGCACGAGCGAAGTCACTCGAATTCAAGTGACTCGACCGTCATTCTATTTCTCGAGTGAGCTTCACTCGAAAGAGTTCAGAGAGTACATCGCGTGTGCACGTATCCTTTCTTGTGTCGATTATTTGATCATAATTGTGATAAATTACAAAGGATTATTCATAATGGATTGCTGTTACTCTACGCCACGGATACCCTGCACGACATCGTAAATGTTACCGCTGCCAAGGACTGGGAAGCTTCCTGTTACAGTTTGACCAGGAACTCCTTCAGCGAGGCGGTCAGCGCGCTCTACGTACGGCAGTACACCCCGAAATATTTGGAAACTCTAGCTAAAAGGGTAATATATTCTTCTACTTAATAGCATCAGTTCTGTAAATCGAGGTAAAAATAACAATTCTCGGAAACATACTTAATTTTTTATATTCTTATTGTTTTGATCTTTAACTGAGACCGCGTGCACGACTATTCGTGCTCGCCAGCGAAACGCCCAGGCAATCCGTCGTACTGATCTGCATGTAAGTGCAAAATCGTATATATAATTGCAATATGTGTATATATTTTTTATATTGAAAGTTTAAATATTCGTATTTAAAGATCAAAACAGTAAGAATACTCAAGATTAGGTACGTGTCCGGGTATTGGTACTCTTACCACACTTGTTAGCCACGAACATGTGACCTTTGTGATCATGGCTTAACTGTCATCTCAATGGTATCATCACGCCATAGGTAACAGTATTGTTCGAGCGTATGAAGGAGACCATAGCCGAACGTATATTAGTAAAATCATGGCTTGACGATGAAACAAGGACACAGGCTTTGTTGAAACTTAATTCCCTACGGGGCCGATTTCATGTGTCGCCTGTTTTTCATGACGACACTCTGCTCGCAAGCGAAATGGCCGAGGTGAGATGGTTATTCTTCTTTTATGTACGCTGAATAGACAAACAGAGATAAGTCATTTTATAAGTCATTTAAGCATTTTGTAAACGCAAAATCTGATCTTGTAGGTCGTAATCGATGATGATGATTTCTTCGCTACCGTCCTGAGGAGATTTCGTCAGATTCGGATATTGCAAAATCAAAGTCCGTTACGAAGAAACGCAACGGAAAAGTAAGGAAAAATATTCTATAATTTCTTATTTTTTTTACATAGATTATAAGTCATGAAAGAAAAAATTTAATTGTACAGTAAGTCAATTTGTCAATCATCTTTTGTACACCACGTTTACCTCTCGATCAACAGATTTATCGACACAAGAAAAATTGTCATTATTATCTGTTAATTTTGTTACACACTCCAGTCTCTCTCTCTTTCTCTCTCTCAAAAACAACGGTTTTGGATTTTTAGGCGTCATTATCCTTATTCCGTACGCGCCTATTACGAATCCTCTACAAATACGATCGGTAAGTTCCATCATTGTACGACAATTTCACAGGTTTGCGTCGAGCAAATTTTGATAAATCATTTCCTCATACAAAAACAAAAGGGATTCCCTTGGCCATAATGACGTCTTGGGCATGGTCGTGGGACGGTGGGCCTGCTTACGCGGTTCACGCCACCCTAGGATCGGTCGTCGCTCATGAGATTCTGCATGCCTTTGATTTCCATCGTCGCAGATTGCCGATAGATCCAGATCTAAACATCGACGAGTGGCTCTGGATCACGCCGAATTCTTGGAAGCGGTTAGAGACCAGAATAGAATGCGTCGCAAGACTCTACGCCAAGAGTTTTTGGCGAAAAGTTCAGTTCTATGGAAACGATGTCACCGTACAGGTAACACTACAGACAGACATTTAAAAAAAAATAAGAGAAAGTGAAAGAAATTATTGTTCTATTAAAAATGTCGCTTTAATCTTTGTGTTGAACGCGCAGTTCGATTGGAATATGACAAGGAACGAGAACGTCGCTGACATCGGAGCTCTACAAATCTCTCACAAGACTTGGCACACCTTGACGAACGGGAAGGACCGAAGCCTCCCTGGCTTGGAAGGCCTCCGACCAAGCCAACTTTTCTTTATAAGTGCCGCTCAGGTGAACAATCGATTCTCCCCTCGTATCATTCTTCGTTCGATGTGTGTCACTTCTATTCGTGCTCGGATTCATGTAAATAAATTTGCAATCGTAAGATTTCTAGCTGACAATTGTTCTGTTTCCAGGTATACTGTATTAACATGACTGCCGAGGCTTACGTTCTCTCCGTTGAGTTTGACTTTCATACTCCTCATCCCGAAAGGTACTTGAAACTTCTCTTTTTATCCTAATTCAAAGAGGATTATCTAGAGTAAGCAGCAATTAAATTTTCAGGGTAAACGGTATAATGATGAATTCACAAGCGTTCGCGGAAGCGTTTCGCTGTCCACTTGGAGCTAAGATGAATCCTCCGAATAAATGCACCGTCTGGTAATTGATTATTGACGCATTCGTTGGTACAATGAGTATGCATATATCATCGATACCATTTCGATGGACCGACGCTAACCAGCTTTATTTTATCTCGCAACTGTTACAAGTCGTGCTAACATTTCGTTTCGCAATTATCGCGACAAAGAATTGCATATAACAATCCATAGAATCTGCGAGTGTATTCTCGCGATTTCCGTCTGTTACGAGACCCATCGAAAGCAAAGTGTCGTTACCGTGTTTACCTGCTACCTATGAAAGTGAAATACCGTTAAGTACAAATAATCTTATTACGTTTTGCTAATTAAACTTACGCTAATTACGGATTGAAGTCCGTCCCGTCTGAAACGCTTTAAACGGTTTCTGTGAAGATACAATTCAGAAGAAATTCAGATGATCAAAACAAATGTGAAAAAATGCCTTAAAAATATTACGCGATATACGTTATTGCGGATTACAGTGTCCTAGAAAGCTATTTTTGCCCGATCGACATGTGATCGATATAGCTTGACGCGAATTATACGACTCTAATGTATATACATTTTGTATAAGGCTTTCGATTCGAAGCGAAGAGACCGCGTGTTCTTAAGATGTATATTTGCGAATATAACGATATAATATATATAACGATAGTATATATTTTCTCGTATAGAAGTTAAAATAATAAAAAAATCTATATATATTTACGTAATCTACGTTTATGTTATACTTGTTGATAATTTTAACGAACGGGCGAACGTCATCTTTTGGTATTTTAATAGCAATATAATGTTGCAGAAGCTTCGTACAGGTGCAATTAAATATTATATATATATATATATATATATATATATATATAAAGAGAATAATCTGTGAGATATACTAGTAGATGCCCGGGAAAAAAATTTCAAATAAAAGCCAAATATGGATTTTATTAAGATCTGATCAGATCTTTCATATCTAATCAGATATAACATTATATATGATTCAGATCTGATTATTACGCTTCCCATATATGCTTAGATATAATCAGATACAAGATTAACTGAATCCAATTATCCATACCTAGCTTTTATCTAAACTTTTCTTTCCCGGGTGCCTTTTATAAGACGCATAATAAATATTATAAAATAGTTTTAAGTAATAATTCCTATTATATTCGACATTTTTTAGAAACCCCTTTTGTTTATAAGGATGATAGGATGATACATCTTGGAGCAATAAATAATTCGTAAATCTTAAATTTTTTCGTTTCGTTGTTGTATTGTGTTATAGTATTAGATTGTGACAAAACAAATAAATTTTATTACAACTTATAAAATTATTTTTATATAATGTATAATATAGAAAAGTTTTCTCTTCTTTTCATGCAAAGACAGCTTATATACTCTTTGGTTGTATAGCTCGTGATTGTGCGATGAAGAAATGCTATCGCGACTCGCATTACAAGCGTATAAATGTCAGTATAGCGTGTTAATTTATTAATTTCTATCAAGCAAGATTTTGCATTATTTGTCTTTGCCCTTTTGTATTGTCTCTTGTAGACCTATATTTCAGACGTAATTAAATTACATCTAAAAGTCATACGCGAGTTCTCCTGATTTTACAAGTTCCAAATGCTGAGCAAACTCTCCGAATGAATATTTATTTTCTTTAACGCACTGCTGCTCCTTCATCTCGCTTATCCATTTCATCTGAAACGGGACAAATTGTGATTAACGAATAATATATATAAAGATCTAGATAAGAACTATCGCATAATATATATAAAGAAATGATTAAAAAAATTGCTGACAAACTTAAAGAAGGAAAAGTGTCGCGTTACATGTCATTTTATATACTTACGAGATTAGGAAATCTTTCTTTATCGAAACCTGTTGATTGTTTGTAAATCAACGGTAAAACTTTCGCTCTTTCAACCCACGGCCAAATCAGAATATCCAACATACCGGGTTTACTTCCTAAGCCGAAAATTTTATACAGATTGAAGATAAAAATATGAAGAATATGTGAAGATAAAATCTAAATTGTTACGAACCTCCGAAGAAAGGTGTTTGGCGGACATTAAGCTCTTGCTCATATGTATCTAAATAATCCATAATCTCTGCCACAATTTCCTCGAGTGGCCTCTTGTCTTCTTCCAATAGGCAATTTTTAAAAATAATTGCAATCTGTAAGATAAACAACCCAATTAGTTACAAAATAAATCATTTGTTTTTGAAAATTGTATAAAGAGCGTTATCAGCACTTTAGTGAAATGATCTTGTAGTTCTAGATCACGAGCTTTGGTTTCTTCGTTATAGAGAGCTGGCTCAGGATACTTCTCGTCCAAGAAGTTCGCTATTAAAAGAGAGTCCGTTAATGTTTCACCACTCGAGTCTATGTAACTCGGTACTGTGCCTTTCGGATTAATCTGAAATCAAAATATTTTATACAGACGACAGGAGAAACTACTTGAACTTTCAACAGTCAGTAACGATTGTATCCGTACTTCTAAATACCACTCTGGTTTATTTTTTAAATTGATATTGACAATCTCATAAGCAACATCCTTCAGAGAAAGTATAAGCTTTATTCTATGAACGAAAGGACAATGTTTCATGCTATATAGACGCGCCAGACCTTCCACTTCCTCCGGCTTTTCAGAGCCTGAAAAAATTTTCTTTATGAAAAAGAGATACGTTTTACACAAATATTCGCCAACATTCCACTGCCGTATCACACAATATGCAAAATTATTAAGAACAACTAAAGTTCTAAATTTTTATTGAAATAGTAATCTACCGAACTCGCTTTGCGCGGAAAGTACGCAGTGCTGCATAAGTGAGTAAAAAAATATATTAAATCGATAATTAAATTAATTAAATTTTAACATTTGCGAACACAGAGATTACAAATGAGGTATGACGAAATGCATCTATTAAAGAGCAATCTGGCAAGCAACCTGATCATTTACAAAATTTTATTAACATATTCTTAATTAACATATAACAAACATTTGCGACAAAAAGTATTATTACATATAATTTTGCAAGCGTTTTCCACTGTCTTTCCCCGAGCGCAAATTCTTTATTTTAAACATTTGCTATAAAAATCATATTTTTTGCGTACTAAAATATTATACGAATGGTAAATTCAGCGTTGTAATATATAATAAAGTTTCCAACAAAACTTATAATCAAATATATTCATTCTAATTTTATCACTTACCAGCTGCTAGGTGCGTAGAACTCATTTCGATATTTTGTTCACAAGTGGAGGAATGTAAAACTTGAGATTCGACTTTTAACAGGAACTAGATGAACTGCAACTGCGTTGCAGGACGAAGACGGGTCTCTCTTTGGATTACCCGACCTAGAATGGTCTGTAGAACCAGTTTCATCGACCGAAGTCTCGTGCACATGCGTAAGCAAATCACTGATCACGTGAGCACATACACCATATATATCACCATAATATATCTGTATTTACAAGGAAACTCTTCAAAACAGTAATAATTCCGCTCCGCTTTTGACGCGCTTTAAATACGCTGTAATCTGTATTAAAATAAGAGACAGATGTATTTTGTTGTTTTATAAGTACTCAATCGTACTTTTAAGAGATGGAATATGAAACGAATCGGCTCTTTGTATTTCTGAGCAAATGCTTTCAAAATGATTGAAATATCTGTACATCTAAAATAATAGAGACTACCGATATGATACGGTTTTTTGCGATATCTTTTATTGACACGATTTCTGATAAGTTTAGATAACCCCATTAGATAAAAATATTTAATTATTTTTTAAATATATTAACATTCTCACCAAAATTTCACCAAAAGAATCATCAAAGTATATATATATATGTGTGTGGCAGTTGTACACTATTAACTGCTAAGGTTAAGAACTAATAAGGTTCTTATTTGTCTTTTTGTCCTACATTTTAATAGGAATTGATATTCGTCGAGTCTCGAATACGTTTAACGAGGAATGATGTCGATTATTATATAATAGTGTATCATCGAATGTCACACACCGTATCAGCAATGCTAGCTACAGCAGTACCAGTTATAAGATAATTACATTTTGCAAATTAAATATAGTCATTTATTATATTTGGCTCGTAAAAATCAGTAGTTATATAACAAAAGATGTTATTATATAGAATGTATATTTATAAAATCTATACAACTATTAGTCGTCATTATGCAAAAGGAAATAAGTCAGAATATGATTAAAATACGATACACTATGTACAGTCTTACATACATTTTGTCTTTACACATATACATACATACATACATACATATATATATATATATATATATATATATATATATATATATATATATATATTTGCCTCAATTTAGAGACTATGTTAAAATTGAAGTTCTTGCTTCCTCACCGCGATCATCTTGGATTGTGATCTTTTTAATCACATGATTTCATTACGTTTATTTTACGGATATTACGGATATTTACGGATATTTGATCATTGCAATAAAGAGGAAGTTTCCGAAATATCTTACAAACCCGTTTAGTCGATCGAAAGTGTCCTTTTATGGACGTGTCTTTTTATTTCAAGGTACTTCGCAAGAATCTTAAACGTATATCTTCTCACTTCGGATATTATCAATGTAGGATAGTTGCGGCAAGAAAACAAAAACCTCTTGAGAGAAACGTATCAAAAATTAACTAATAATGTTTGTTCTCTGCGAAGTGGGTGCATTGACATCTGTATAATTAAATTATACGTCACGTTTTGCACTTAAGTAGTTTCTATAGCGCCGGAAGTAATTGTATCTCAGGATGTATGAATTTCTTCTAGATTTAGATGAGTGATGAAACGCAGCCTTCGTTGTAATGGAAACTTCAATCTTCGTATGATACATTCCACTTCGTTTTTCATCATATCACCGACAAACATGTACTTTATGTGATACCTATCGTAATTGTTAAGGAAGACATTAGTATGTGTACGCGCATACGAAAAGTGTTTCGTGGCAGAACGATTTATCATAAAGGATACAATAAATCACAAACTGGATCCATGTAACGTAAATGTGCTTGAGCACGATCGACTTGTTCCAACATCTCGTACAGGCAGACTGCAAGTTCAACCACACACTGTGGCCGCTCTGCATTGAACCTTGCTAAAGTAGGACCAATTAAGTGACAAGCATATATCAATTGTTCTTCACTAGTTACAACTGGCTGAAGTTTCTCCTTGATGAATCTAGAATCGAGAAATAAACATTTATTATTCATTTTTAAGATAAAGAATTTGTATAAATAATATAAATGTACACAATTATAATTGATATAAACGACATTATATTACGACAGTTTAGTGTTATATATTCTTCTAAATACTGCACTATTGTTTAAATACCACTTTTACAATTTATATGATGTGGAATTGCTTACTGAGGCATTGTTGTGATCTGTCCTACACCTGCATGATGCCAAACTGAATGCGCCAACGCAAGCATATAACTGTATTTGTTTTCTAGTAGACAATTGTGCGTAGTATTAAAATTAAACATTTGAAATGGTGTCAAATTATTGTACTGCCAATTGGCTAGACCAGGACTGCTAATAGTTTCCACCAAACGGTCGTGTAATGCCGACCAATAACATTCTGGCAGTGCTGCCAGCAGTAAACCAACACAATTTATCCATAAATGTATCTCGTCCGATGGCACAACAGTGTATCTAAACAAATGAGATACATAATAAGTAAAATTAGACAGAAGTTATGCAACATCTCGCAAATTTTCTCTTGATACGAAATTTCTCAATTACTATTATAAATATAAATAAAGTTTGAAAGAGGAATCATACCCTTTAGCGACAACGTCCAGTAAAGAATTAGCTACCAAATTCGGTGCAACTGGAACGGCCATCAGTTCCACGCAGGTGACATATAATGCATGTGCCGCTGGATTTGGAAACTCATTGAATCGCCAGTCGGTAGCAGGAAAGTGAGCTGCACCTGACATTGCTTTAACATATATGTATTCAATTAAAATATATCTTCTCTATAACGAAGGCTATTCCGTATTTTATTCGTTTCAAGCGAGAAAATTTAATTTAGATAAACTATAAATGATAAAAATATGAGAATCATCATGTGATATCTCTCTCAATGTTTTAGTTGCCTTACTTTCCACAATCCTGCGCACAAGACGAATGTAATAGTCCAATTCTGGTATCCAAGTGACCACATCGTCCGCAGATCGAGTCATGTACATTTGATAAGCCTCAGAAAGAGCCCACCCTGGTGCTCTGATCTCTCGTAACGAGCCCAAAACGGCGGAAACCAATCGACGCTTTAATGGCGGTCGGTCTCGTAATTTCCTCTCGTAATAATGCAATGTGTTGTAAAGGTAAGTGACGGGACGATCTAAAATTTATAAGACATTAATTGCTTTCAATAATCATTTTCATTCCCGACTTTCATTTGCATTTATTGATGAGCTTATTCTTGCATTGCTCAGAAGCGTAAAGAACACTGAGAATTTTTATGCTAAATCCTTTCGAATATATACGTACCGTGAAATTTATATAAGCAACCCAAATGCTCTAATAGCGTCTCTAGACTTTTGATGACAGGCGGAATTTCCAAGTACCGGTGTACCACTATGTCGAAAACTGGTAAAAAGCGCAGACAGACGTTGCCGAAGTATACAGGCAAACTTTGATACTGACTGGGTCCGCCACTGGTCTGCTCCATGATACCTTCCGGCGCGAACTTTTCCGGAAACTTTCTGTGGAAAGCGAGATGCTTCTCGTGCCAGTTCGATTGCTTCCAGTGCTCCGGCGAATTTTCCTTGACGAATTCTTGCACGCGATTTCTGAATTCCGCGGATTTTAGTAGTAACAGTTGTATAATGAAGAAGCACACTTGAGCTTCGCTACCCTCCTGTGTTCTCAATGCGAGACATAACACCAATCTGTCGATAGTCACTATATTGTACTTCCAGATCATATCGTTAATGGTGTCGACACACTTGTTAACATGCTGACCACCCACACTATTGGCAAATTCGAACACCAAGTAGTCACAGAATTTTCTGAGATGCGCTGACAGCGCTCTGGCACCGATTCTCTCCAGGATCTTGTACGCAATCGGGCTTATACGATCAGTCTCGAGTATCATTTTCCACAGCAGACATAAGAACAACGGAGGCGTGCCGGGCACGGAGAAATGAGCGATAATATCATTCTCATTGCTCATCGATGCCCAATTTCTATATTCTTCTTCGACGGCTTTCTTGATCTGTTGCTTGTTCTCCTTCGCCACACTGTTCTGCTGAAAAAACTCGCTCAATACAGGTGGAAAACATTGAAGAGTATGATAAGCCCAAGAATGTGGTGTATTCTGCATAATGGTGTTCAACAGATCCTTGCACCAAGTGCCACTGAGAGTGTCGGCGCCTGTGCCTGTCACGTGCATAGATCGAGCTAGTGTCAATACTAATGCTCGATTCAACTCCTCGGATTCTGCGGAAACTAAAGTTTTTGGTTCCGATAAGAATCTGGATAGTTGCGGCTGTACCTCCGCTGAACCCAATCCAGTGATAAGTCGTAGAGCGGTGCTTTCGACACACAAATGCAGCTGCGTCTGATTCGTCTGTGGTACCGCTGCCAGACTGTGAAGATGCGAGAGCAGCTGTACTCTGTAATGCGGTTGGATATGATGCATCCTATAGCTGAACATCTCCAATAGTGTATACAGCGTTCCCCAGGCATGCGACTTGAATACAGTCGGCAATAATTGGCTAATGAATCCCTTTATACCGAGACTCTCGATTTCTGTATACACTAGCAGCCGGCTGTAGGTCTCGACTAACGCCGGGGCCAACGCCATGTTACTCTTGGATTGCGCTAACTTGATCACATGCGTGACGATACTGTGAATTAGACTCATTTTTGAATGTACAGTTAATGAATCCAGGATAGACATCGACAATGGTGTGGTCGGACCATTCGCTAACGCCGCATTATTTTGCAAAGTCTGCAAAGGTTGCTGTTGTTGACCCTTTTGTGTACCTAGAATAGTATCCACCAAAGCAGCCATAGGTCTACTGAAGTATTCTTGATTCGTCGAGTAGGCGTTGCATAACAGTGCTATACGATAATCTGAACCCATGCATAGAGAAGTATTTGGCATTACTAAATGTTGCAAAAACTCGTGATGGACTTTCAGTGTGTGTGGTATGGGTCGATGAATGTTGGAGTGTTCCGATTGAGCTTTCTTCAGTAAATGAATCCATATGCACGTGATAGCCATCTGATGAGTGCACAGCGCCTGACTGTAGTCTGGGACAGGTAAAGGTTCCTTCTCCGGGTAAAGGAGATCGTACAACTTCAACACCGGTAAGAAATTCGACAATGGATTCCTTTGAATACTACCAGAGATGAACTGTAGGAGAACCCACATCAAATGATCTCTTCCCTTCCTCAGTTCTCTACCGGCCAACTTATCGTGTATTGCCATGACGATGCTTGGGAAGCAGGCAAATTGAAAGAGAACAAAGTAGATGAGTTGCGAGGACAAGTGCAACCACACCCAATGATTGGCCACTGTACCGTCTGTTCCCTCAGCCGGCAAAGTCTCATTTTCGGATCGTTCCATCGCAAGTATAACGAGTTCCACAAGCTGTTCCTCCAAAACGATACATCGTTGCTTATGCTGTTACACAAAGAAAAATATGTATAAATTATTTTGAGAATCGCGCAGTGAATATACTATATAGCATTGTATACAATGTTATAATTTTATCTGTTTTATTTAAAATATTTCAAAGTTATGTTTGCAATGTCAAAAACTTTACTAAATAAACATCAATGACTAATAAGAATATAGTTCCATACCTGCTTTTGTAAACCAAGCATCGAACAAACCATATCTCTACTATATGGTTGTTCAAGAACATATCTAAGCAGTTCAGTTTGAGGTTTAAGTAAGTCCGGATCATAAGGCAAGTTTCCTTTCAAGGAGAACTTCAGCGTGGTAGGATCCAATAACCATGGGTTGATTAAATGATCGGCATATCCTGTGTGTTCAACCACAGGCAACATCTTAGAGTGACCAACTATAGATACCATTTGAGCTGTATTTCGAAAACCTTCAACAAAACTGGAGAGAAGTTTCGCCAATTTCTGAAACAGAAATGTACTTTAAGGTCTGAGCATTCAATGCAAAAATAGATTATGTAACATAGGAATGCAATTCATTATTTACCCAATGAGGCCAGTTCTTGTTGTCAGGATAGGCTTTCTGTATCTCATTGACAATAAAATAACTTGGCAGTAGACACGAATTTCTATCAAAAATATGCTCAAGGATATTCTCCAAAGCTTTCAGTTGTGGTTGTACCGATGCATCTAATCGAGCTGGTATAGTTTGCGCCTTTTCTTTACATGCCTAACAAGAGATGTAATATAAAAAAATAAGTACTTTATTATCAATAGATTCCTTTAGACAATTATACAGAAATTCTATCAGAATATTTTAAACAACCTTCCTTCCTTCCTTCCTTCAATATATGGCTACAGGCCTCTATAAGAGTAATGCCCCTACGCCAGTTTCCGATTAATGATATAATTCGAGAGCAAAGTCTTGGAAATTTCCAAGACACGATCCAAAAAAATCACAAGGTCCGAACATGTTCGAACACGTCTTGTCGTGACGGCGGTTAGGCCGGAACTTCTATTTTAAACAACTATTATGTTAATTTATAAGGACTTACTTTCATTATTTCCCTAACACCTTTATAATCAACACCACCAATGATACGTCGGAGTACAGTAAAACATTCAACCCAAAAATCTTCCAGTTGGTACTGCAATTTGTCACAACTTAAAATACACTCACATACTAATCTGAAAAAAATTTATGAATAATTTAGTGACATGAAAAATACTAAATATAAATGTTTATGTATCAGAAAATATACCTGGCAGGTAGAACATTTGTCTGCACTAAATTTTCTAGCAATGACAACAACAATTGCAATCGTTTATGATTAGTCATAACTGCTGCCATTGACAAGAATTGACGAACAGCTGCTTCTTGCTGTTCCTTTGTCAATCCACTCATAGCTGCTTTTAGCTCATTTTGCCATATTGTTATTTTTTCATTTTTATTGTTAGCATGATGAACTAAGACACAGCTAAATGCTTCCTCTATTGCTTCTACTTTCTGAAATACAAAATATATATTATCTGGTTGTATAAATATAATATACATAATTTTCCAAGTCTTGGCTTAAATAAACATATCAAAAACATATTGAGAAAACTGTTGGAACTAATGTTCCATCAAAGCAAAAAAATTATAAATCTAAAAAAAGTACTTAATATTCCTAATATATATAATAATATAAATAATAATAGTCTTCATACACACGGTACTTACTAAAATATCACTTATAATATTTGCAATTTGAGTTTCACTACTCATTTTGCTAATCATAGAATACTTTTAGGGCTACAAATCTTTGATTTGAGAAATGTTTACCATAAATAACTTGAATAACCTAACTTGAATCTTTAATTTAGTCTTGTCTCTTATTATTTTACTTGGACTCAGACTTATCTCTATTCCTTCTCTATCCTTTCATCCAATGAACCGAGGTACGAATTCCAAAAAAATTATGTCCAAACGTCTTCGAATACGTCTCAATGTAACGGCGGTTAGACCGGAACTCAATCTTTAGTTTATATTTGTTCCACATAATATAATTAGTTCAACTTTCACAAGCTTTGTTTTGTATCACCTTTTTACTGTATAATATTATTGTTTACTACGTGTTGTAATTCTCTCTCTTGTTTTTCTTCTAAGACACTTCCAATTACTTGTTTAATACAGAGCCATTTCATTGGTTGTATTTTATCTCGAGAAGATAGTTAGATAAGGTGACCAGATTTCCCAGCCCTGAATTCGGGACACTTCATAAATATGTGAAGCGGGGGGAGGGGGATAAAAATATCCGAAAATTATTTAACAATCATTGAAAATGATGACAAATCGGTGTCTCGAATAGCACTCGAAAAAATTCGGCACAAAGGATGAAAAACCGGGACGTCTGGTCACTTTAGCTGAATGTGTCGAAAAGAGAGGAAAATACTCCGTAACAATGTATCATGGATACATATCGTAAATATGTCCTGACGACCACACGTTGTTTTCGGCACTCTAATACTTATTTCCGCAGGAGACTCACAGAACACAAGCGAAAGACGTATGGAACACGGAGCGTTGTATTCATGACAGTTGCTCGGCATGAAAAGATCGCAGACGCGCGCGCTGTCAATCACGTACACCAAAAGTTCATTAGCGCGCCGAAAGTGTCAAAAGTGCATGAATGTAAACGCGCCAGTGAAGCTAACAAGGTCGCGCGTCTACAACGACGCAATCAGCGGACGCCTTAACCACTTGCTCGAGTTACTAACCACTCTAGACCAATCGCGTTCGTTTCGCGAAATACGTAACATTAGGTGCTTTCCAGTTGCTTAACACATCGGCTGCGTTCTTTTATTCGCAACAGATGCAGCTGATATTATGTTATCCTTCAATTTTACCGAATGTTAAACAAGGATAGAATGACATCGGCTGCATCTGTTGCGAATAAAAGAATATAGTCTATGGCTGCGTTCGGGGAGACGCTATGAGCGTCCTTTGTCCTTGTTCAACTTTCAGGAACAAACAAGGACAGAGCACACTCATAGCGGTAAATAACGTCTCTCCGAACGCAGTTTATATGTTACGGATGTTTTTGTGCGGAGGTTCTTTCTATCATTGTACGAAAGTATAACGGGCACGAACCAGGCGCATTTTGTCATTACTACCGCGAAAATGCGTCTAACGAACGTAGTAAAGGCGCACTTTGTTAGATGGTGTCTCGAAAATGTGCTTAGCTCTGGTCATTAAAATCAGGCTGGTGGCCGTTCTCAGGCTTTTTTCTGGTTTAGGTTCGCTTGAAATTCTAGTTACTTCTATAGAATCGTAACATACTTCTCACATATTCAGCGCGTACCCATATCACGACCAAGCTTTCTCAACTGTCAAATTTTATTAATTCGACAAAACATTTTATTAATTGCACGAAACATGTGAATTTTCCTGGTTGCGTAACAAGAATATACGAAGAGTGAGTTGGTGGCACAAAGTAAGTTAGTTGAGATTCAAATCCACACACTCTTTTTCTCACCTATATATTCTTACATTCTAATAATACATAATATAATTTGACATCACATATGATATAATGTATATAATATAATATAACATAATATAATATAAAAAATATAATATATATGATATAATATGATATAATCTCTAAAATAATTTTAAAATCTTTTTTTTTTATAAGAATACAAGTTGAAAAGAATCTCAGATCAAACTTATTGACTCATTCCCTAACAGCATAGATATCCAAAAGATGTCCAGAGTACGTCCTGAGAACGTCCTGGGGACGTTTCTTTGTTCTCAGGACATTTCTGAGACGTTGCCAGGAGATCTTGTGCTGTACGGGATTTCTAATAAAATACTTCTTGAAATCATATTTGGAATATAAATTGTAAACGGGATGTTATATACGCTATAAGTATGCCTCAAATTGTGCATTCTTTACATGAACGCAATGCGTATCCATAATATTACTGAATTCAAACCAACTTTCATCAGTCCGACGAAACATGTGAATTTTCATGGATGGATATCAGAAGCACAGGAGAAGCTAGCTGGTGCACATAGCCGAGATTTGAACCCACTTTTGATAGACCGACGAAACTAATGATCTTTCTGTGGCGGACCGCTAGATGGCGCGAGCGAGGTCGTTGCTAGCTTTGACTGAAAATCTGACGGGCCCGCCATTATTTCGGAGAGTAACCGCGCAGTATTCATTACGAACTGTTGTGATAAAAAATCGAGGTTGTGGAGTAATTCAACGAGTTAAAGGTAATTTTTACTTTGAAGCAACTCAACTTGACGTTTTGTTAGTCACTCTTGTTTGATTTTCACATTGTGCAATACAATGAATAGAAAAATGTGCAATACACAGATAGAAAAATGTGTTTATTCTGAGCTCATATTGTATTCATGTATCTTCAGACATGAGGACAAGAATAGACACCGATGCGGGCTCATGCGCCTCAGAATGTAGACATGTTATGATGTCACAAAAATACCTTATTTAATAATAATAATAAACATCATGTCAAGAATTTGCAACATAATTTGTACATTATTTGTGTGCATCTAGTGCTCATGTCATGAGATCACGTAATGACCCTTAAAAAAGTATCAAATTAGAATCATAGTATGAAGTCATATTGTGATGAAACATGATCATCACGCATTTCTGGGAACAATCTCATATTGCGATGCAACAAGTTGTGCGAAGCAACCAAAACATCTTTCTATTTTCAGATAGTGCACTTAACGGCTTGTTAAACACACTTTTTGTATAACAATTATAGCGTCGCTTCTCTTGATCGCGGAAAGTATACAACATTCAATTAGCTAGTTCTAACTTGGTAAAAGTAACAATAATGATGAAATAATATGAAAAGCATTTTACAGAGCTCGAAATATTGAATTTCTAAATTAATTAAAACTTCTTTCTCGCAGTAACCATTTAATCTAATGACAAACAAAACAATACGAAAATCTAGTAAAATATGTCGAAGTAAGAAGACATATCTACATAAAGTGATACTTCCCATAAAACATAAGCTTTAAAAACCTTAAAGTTTTCGTAATATTCCATAAATCTGCTCGATTGGTCGCGAGTGTCATTTTATGGACATCTTTTTATTTCAACATATTCTGCAAGAATCTCGAGTGTGTATTTTCTCGTTTTTAACGTCATCAATTAAAACGATCGTGACAAGAAACTAGGGGTCTTAATGAATGGCAAAAAAATAATATTTTGATTGATAAGTCGTCCTGTTTCCAGATGTTTTGTGATAATGTGACTACTGAAGCCTACGTCCTCTCCGTTGAGCTCTCGACTCTTCATCGTACTCCTTACATCCTGTAAGAGATATTTAAAATCTTCAATATTTATTCCAATTTATAATTGAAATCTCCTTCTTTACCTTTATCTTTACATCGAAAACTTATTTGTATCAAAAGTATGAAAGATGTATCCTAAAAAGGAGACTTTAAACTTCCTACTGATTACTTAGCAAACGTTGTATATGATTTTGCGTTTACGCGACGTAACTTTTGACCAACTTTCTCGGAAACCTTATCATTCGACAAATCTCAATTCATATTCGTGTAGTAAATGTAAGGAATAAGTAAACTTTGCAAGACTGTACTGCGTTAGCGGCGCGTCATATCGCATCGGCTCTTCTCCAGGGTTTGCGGACGCGCGCGCCGGAGGGTGGCTGGGGAGGTTCACGACAGGGGAGTCCCCGAAGGGGAGAGACCCGGTGCCGCGTGTTGGCGTCGAGGTGTCAGTATGCGATCGCGCATTCCATGCGGGAACACCTGTTTGCTCCGAACGATTGCATCGGCTCGTGTGCAACGCGGTCGCGCTCGGTTCGCGGAGTAAAGACAGAGGAAAGGTAGAGAGACGAGAGAGCGTGAAAGGGAGGGAAAAAGAGAGAGAGAGAGAGAGAGAGAGAAACAGATAGACAAAGAGGGGGTTAATATCATAAACCCCAGGCAGAAAGTACTTAAGCCATCGCCAAGTAAATATTCTCGAATAGAGACGAAGCATTCGTTTCGGAAAGGATTGCATTATTGGAAAATGCGAGATATGTATTTTACGTTATAATAGACATGTAGTACGTTAACGCATTGCGCATTTGAAACGCTCGTTTCAGTCGTTGGCGTGAAGGCAGCGACAGAACTGGATGCGACTGTAATAGTAACGCGTTCTCGCGATTTCACACAGGAAGAGTGTTTTTCGAAGTGGAAAGAGAAACATTTTAGAAACGCGTCCTTTCTGAAACGACTGGTTGAAACGCGTTTTTCACCTTACCTTTGTTGCCAACTATGCAAATCGTAAAAAACTACCCTCTCGATGCGTATTTAGATTGATTTTCGATTTGATACTTCTCAAGTAGGAGAAATTCAATTGGTTTCATTAGAGAGGAGATCGTGATAACGTTAAAATGCGAACGGGACTGATCGGGCCCTCTTCCGCGTAGACTTCGTTTATTCGCGAACGTACGTACGTGCGTCTGTGCGTGTCCCGTTACCGAGAGCAGTAAGCGAATGAATACCGTTCCTGAGAAGCTAAGTTCCCTGATCCAAGTGCTTTTTCCCTGGGACCAGAGACACGGAGTGCTTGGAAGAGGAGGAAAGGTAGAGGGTGAAGGGGACGAAGAGAAAGGGAAAGAGAAACGGCGGGTGGACGGAGTCCGCGAAACTTCAACCACGTGCTTCTCGATTGTACACGCGTAAGAGCAATTTTGTCTACTAAGGGTGCGCGAGAGACGAGTGCCCCGCGTGTCCTTACATATATATATATATATATATATATATATATATATATATATATATATTTATATTTATATTTATATATATTATATATATTTCACACGAATCTCGCACTCTCTCGTTGGTGCCTCCTGACTACCATTTGAATGTTCCCTTTGCACGATGCACTATCGCTCCATCGGTGATTGTTGCACGGAACAAGTCCATTTGATTTTGAGTTATTTACCTTGGTGTACGTTCGTCGGATCGGATGGTGTGAGTAATGAGAGTAACGTGTCGGGCGAACGCGGCTCGAATCCCTTCATGGAATTCAACGGGTTACACCGACAGGTCAGGACGGGTCAACGTGACCTGACTCTCCGAGTTAATTGGATAAGTAATTTCGGACGTAACGAACGTAACGATACGGGCACTGTCCTTTGTCCCTTGAAGCCGTTTCAGTCTGTAAGACCGTTGGCATATTCCATTACTGTTGATCCCGTTATTGTTGACCTGATAAACTTTATCGGAAATTTTCGCATTTGACATATCATTCTTAATTTATATTCATGCAGCAGCGTAAGTGACAGGTGAAGTTGCTCGAAAATGTGCCTGGCGACTGGATACTTCAAGCTGTAAAATATTTCAAGCTGCAAAGCTGCAAGATATTTCTCAGACCTCGTTAATGATGTTTACGTAACTTGACGCGCGTTTCATATGTGTATCGCAAACAGCAAAATAGCTTATGCACATGTAATGTAACTACACTATAAAAAAAAAAGATTACAGTATAAACAACTCGAATGGAGTCAAACGAACTCAAAATTTGAACGTTGTATGTGGCAAACCGGTTGCCCTAAATTTTTCGGCAAAATTTTACTGTTCTCCGAATTCATGTTCATGTCAATACCCGGAAACGAGTGTGTACGGTTGGAAGATAGCTGTAACCTAATTACACTACATTTAAAGACTATTCTGACTATTCTGACTAATGTATATCGAGTATTCCTAACCGTGCGTAGTTTTGTCGACACGTACGAGTTACATTCTCGATCAGTTGACGGGATGAGACGAAAACACGTCTTTGCGTCGAAGTAATAAGCTCCATACACTGTGTTACGTACGATTGAACATCCCTTTGTACAAATAATGCCTCTTCGCTCGTTTGTAATTTGATTAAAACTCGCCGCGCAAATATCATTGTCGAGAAACAATAATGTCGCAGCAGTGGTAAACGAAAATTTCAGTCGATTAGAGTGAATTTATTCCCGTGACGATGAAATATACCAATATTTGTTGCTCTTCAATTTCAAATAAATATATTTACTCGACGATTTTGAATGGAAAAATGCCTACAATCTACATATAAGTGAAAGATCCTTTAAATTTGAGCGACTCAACTTTCTCTCTTTCTCTCTCTCTCTCTCTCTCTCTCTCTCTCTCTCTCTCTCTCTCTCTCTCTCTCT